TCTATAACAAAATCGGGCAGCGGGCACGCGTTGATATTCAATTGTAACATAATCCCTGACTGACGTGATAAGCTGCACAGCTTTCGATTTAAACAGCTTTTCAAAATAACATTGAAATTTTTTTTTCAAATTAGAATGGTTCATTAGTTAGTTTTTCAAAGGAAATTGTTACTTTTGCTCTGACAGGCGTAAGCACGGTCGGCGACGCAAAACAATGGTTTTGTATGTTAAAAAATCGCTGATTATACACGGGAGCCAGTCTTTTATGTTAATTAACTATTTTCACCTGTTTGTTACTGCTGTGTCTGCGAGGCTAAAACATAACTTAAGATTGTTATTCCAGTAAAATACGATGTATAAAAAAGAGAAGAGACGCCTGTTATTGTGAAAATACGTATCGTAAAATACGTATCACGTGCTAAAAATAAATACGCAAAAGCCAGATTTAGCGGTCAAAAGAGCTAGTTGGCTACCGAATCCACAAAAAGCTTATTTGTCCTGAACATGTCACCGATAATGTAGAAAGAAAATACTTCCGTTCTGCGCTTAAACGACGACTTTCCAACAAGACGATGATCTATTCAAAAGAGATAATACAGGGGCACCCAACGACAATATAGTTTAAAACCACTTGAACTTAGCATTGTTGAACATATTTTAGTAATAGGCATATTTTTATCCCCTAAAAATTTTTCATCTGTTCGGATTTCCTAGCTGAGAGTATAGTGATGCGAAAATTATAGGGATCAAAACTTACCTTTTCGAAAATTTCAGCCAGAAAAAAGGGTTCCAAAAATTCTAGGTGATCTTTTAGGGTAAAAATCCGTTAAAAATGGGCAATTATACCATTTTTTAGATGTTCGAAAATCCTAAGAGAGGCAGGCAAGCAAAAAAGTTTACAACAATCGTCTTCCGAACTGATATTTTCCGAAAATTGTCGTTGGGTGCCCCTGATATTGGGGCGGCCGCAGTTTCATTGAAATCATAGCAGTTTTCCCAGAAAGCTCCTCGGCCCACGGGATCTCAGTCAATCTTAAGCGAATTTTCTTTTCAACCTAAATAAAAATGATTAGTAAAGAGAATAGTGCCCTTATTTTTGATCCCAAATTTTTTGTAAAACTTGAAATATATAAACAGACCAGAATCTTACTTTTCCATTTAAAAAACATGAAATATTCGACGGTGTTGCCCATGTTTCTTTCATATGACAACATGCGGTTTTTTTTTTTCGGACGCTCAGGAGGTCAAAGGATGTGATTTTTCATGAAAAAAAAATTTCTCAAAATTCTGCTTGACTTGTTCAGAAAATAATTTGTTTAATTTTGAATAATTAAATAACAGCTCACTGATTTATTAATTTGGGCTAACAACTTGGAGGCCCGGGCACAGCAGCTAAAATGTTTGGGAGACCGAAGGGCTCCCTGAAAATTTTATTTGGGCGGCCATCTAGATATTGTAGGTTAAATTGCTTGGGAGCCCAAAGGGCTCCCTGAAATTTTCCCTAGAGCGTAGTCTTGCAGCCCTTTAGTTACTGGAAGTATGATTCACTACATGCTATTGTTGAATGTGGTGAGTGTATTTCTTTGAGGACATTAGTAAAGGGAATGCAAATTTAAGTGAACTACCCCATACTCTTAACATATATTGTGGTAATATTGATGTAACCTTTGTTTTGCGTAGCAATGGAACCCAAGTGTGTAACTCATCTTCAACAGTGTATTAGTCCTTAACAGAACATCTCCGTCTCTCCTGCACACATTTGTTGTTGATACACTACTCAACTTTCCATACAGTACTAAAGTGATGACGTCATAAAAATGAAATTTCTGAAATTATGGGATTTGTTAGGATATTCTGAACGAACAATGTCCAAGAGGCCTACTTGCCACAAATGAGCATTTCGGGGCAAATTGTGTCTGAGATGTTAGCCGGTTATACTCAGAAAACTCCATACAAACCCTTCTAATTTTTTTGGGGGGTCGACACAAAAAAATTTCGAAGGGTTTGCATGGAGTTTTCTAAACACAACTGGGCTACGATCTCAGAGACAGACGATAAAACGGTAAATTTACTTCCAATCAATTTTGAAACGCAAATTTCCTTCCGTACCGTAAGCCCCTCCGAATATAAGCCCCTCCAAAAATAAACCCCTCAAAAAGAGCCTTTGAAAAATATAAGCCCCGGGGCTTACTTTGGGAATTTTACGGTACTTCACTACTAATAGGTTTGGTCTCTAAGTAAATTGATGATCGATAGAAAGTTTCTCCTGACATGAATTCGGTGGAATGGAGATGTACCAATTTTGTGCATCTCCGCAGTAACACTTCTTTTCATGAAATATGTTTAATTAGAGCCTTTGACAGATGACAAAGCCTTGTTTATATTAAGTATATTTTGTTCAGTTTAACATTTTTGACCTTAATCTGGTCTTCCGTCGATATTTACCAGGACATGATTACCTTACTTGCTTTTAACAGTTTTAAGCGTGTTTCTTTGAGTTTTAACTGAATTCATGGCAGTGGATAACTTTAATTAGATTTAAGTGATTTTATAGGTGTTTTTGTAGGTAAACAACTATTGTTCTAAATTCTGCCTTGTACTTTGGACGATAATCAACCTGAATAGCAGGGCCATTGAGTTTATTTTGATTTGTACCCGAAACTTTGATATCATAGTTGACTCTAGGAGCCAGCGAAGTGCATTCTTTATCCCCTTAAACTCCTGAGAGAGGCCAGCAACTAATTTCTCCTCAGAATAACACTTCGTAATCAAATATAAAGGTGGTAAGAATAGAAGTAGCCTACGAGCAAGCTCTCCTCTTTGGTAAATATATACCACGAGGCGAGCGTGACTTCATAAGTTTACGAAATCCGACCGAAGATAAGAGGGCCTTTCGACGGATGTTAACGAGTGCTGACCCAGTGCTTCCTTCCTGACTTCCCTAACCTGCGTAGCAAGCGTTTCTGTTTAGTTTCGGAACAAAAAAAGACCGAGGAACGGGATTTTCGGTTTTGATCGCGTGGCGCCATTTTTCGCGCGGTCTTTGACTCTTGTTCCTCGTTATTTGCTCCTAAACCGCACAGAAACGCTTGCTACGCAGGCTATGACTTTCCTCAATACAACAGCGCGTTTTCATTGGTTGCCTCAAGAACAAATAACATGAAACAGAAAAAACTTTTTCCAGGGGCCAAGCCAGGATTTTTCCAGGGGTACGCACAGTTCTTAAAATTCCCCTCACGCCCCTCCCCCCATTACAACAAAGTTTTCGTGCTTCATAAATTCAGCCTACCTTTACGGACTGGTCATTATTTATCGGGAGGTGGGGGCTGGTGCAAATAGGGGTTGGGCCACCATTTTTTATGCATGGCTTAAGGGGGGGGGGGGGGGCATTAAAAAATATGCAAACGTATTGCCAGCAAAAATGTTAAAAGCTGCATCTGGATGCCATCAACAAATACAGCCTATTAAAATAGCTTTGTCTGCATCATCATCAATATCATTGTTGTATTTATCATCATCATCATCATCATCATCATCATCATCATCATCATTATTACTGTCATCATCATGGGCATTATCTGGTTCTAGGTTAGTGTTTTCTTTTCTTGGAAAATTGTCTACATATTCACTAATCAAGTTTACAGCTTCAGTAGATAGTTGTCTATCTTCATGCATAAGTTGTAGATATTTTACTTGACACAATGATAATGAAGATAGAACTTCCAATTTTAGGTTTTGGATTTGATTTACTTCAGATGCAGAAGCATTCGAAATAAACTCTCGCACTTTCTGTATGTTGGCAGATTTTCTCGAAACTTTCCTTCTTTTGGCTTTCCTTCGGCTCTCTTTCTGAGAATGCTTTTTGGTTTTTGCATTCACATAGGGGGCATATTGGAACATATTTGATGTCTTCTCTAGCTTTTCCTTAAGGCTTTCTTCTATTTCTATCACCCTTTCTTTAACTTTTATAAGTATGACAATAAGTTTTTCATTAAATGTTTTTGGGTGGTTGTGCCCTGGAAGCAGTTTCCCTGCTATGGAGAAATAAGTACAAAGAAGTGGAAGAGGAAGAGGAGTTGACTGAAGAAGGAAAAATGATTGAGAGCACCGAGAACTTTAATGTCAATACGACAATTGTCTACACACGGTGTGGGCGAAGAGCAACTCAAATCCAAATTTAAGGTAGCTTTAAATAGAATGTCTATCAGTTGGACATGGTGACTTGATAAATACATCCTTTTTGTTTCATACATGCCGGAGGACAAGGGGGGGGGGGGGGTCAGAAAAAATCATGTTGAAGTAAAAGGGGGGGTCAGCAAAAATCAAGCATGGCATATTTTACATTGCACCAGCACCCCCCTCCCGATAAATAACGACCAGTCCCTTACCTACGAACGTTTTCCCCACTTTTTCTCCAAATAGGTTGGTCCACCAACAAATCACAAGACAAGGCCACTAAATCTAGCGGGGATATAATAAATATTATTTTAGAGGCTAGGTCGCCCTCTAAGCTGAGGGTCTGGATGAGCTGCCCCCCCCCTCCCCCCCTCCCCCTTCCCCGACGGATTCAGACCTTCACTCCATCGAGGCGTTTTAATACACGCAGACGGGATTTAACCTACATTAAACGACGCTAACGTAATGTCTTTGTTACCGGTGTTCTTGAAGGGTTGAAAGGATGTTTTATTGAAGAAGGGACCCGTACGCAGATACATGGGTTTTGAGGACTTTGACGAAACTTTCAAAATTTTTGATAGTTTATTGGGAAAAATGGTCATCACCTAGACAGTTCTCATGAAAAGATCACGTTCACTTTATCCTCTTGTGATCAATGATCTGAGCGAGCATGCATACAATGTGACTGATGTATTTTGAACATGTTTGATCGATAGGGGTAGCACCTATGGTTTCACTTAGAGGCAAGCGCGAAACGCGAGTGAATGGTAATGATTCGCACGGGACCATGGGAAGGCCGTTATCTCCTTCCCGCCCCCCATTGCGCGCAAATTTTCATCGAGAGAGAGATATCTGGGTACGAGGCAGGGGCAGCACCATAGCCAGACAAAAATTACCCGAAAACTCTTCGCCCTCTGTTTTCTGAAGATTTTTGGAAGGCACACAAAAAGAAGAACAAAATTTTCTCACGAAAACCTGCCTAGGTTACATACCCAGTTTATTAACAAGGAGATTTGATCTTTTACGTATAACCTTGAGACCAGTTTCTTTATTATACACCGCTACCTTACAAAATAAATGCAGCATTGCTGTAGATATAAAATAGGGCTACAAAAAGTGCTGTTACACCACACAGACTAAAATAATAACCTGGACTTATTGCCGGTTTTCAAACCGACTCCACGCTTTTCACTTAATACACAAATTTATAGTTACTGGAATAATTGTAACAACTATATATTTGCCAAGCTCCTACTCAGCACAGGATTCTGGGAGACGACCTATCTATCCCCCCCACCCCTGACCTGAAATTTTGCTCAAGTCGGAAGTCAACATTGAGCTAGGGGACAGGGTGAACTGGGGAGGGGTAGTTAGACAATTAGGGCAGTTTCCAAGAACCTTACATTGATCCGCTCCCGGTATTTTGGGTTGTTGTACCTTGTATATTAACATACACTACCTGGAGGGGAAGGGGCGGGGGAGGTGACAATTCTGGAAAATACGGGTGAGGATGTACAACAACAAAAATTGCAATTTTTCCCACCCTATTTCAGACTTGAAACGCTGTTTTCAAGGGACAAATGATCACAAAAAAAACTAACTCCCGATACACGATACCCAAACCCAATTTAGGCCAAAAGCCCTAACAAAAAAAAAAAGAATACTCTTTGTGGCACACATTGACATACCTATATTACATGTACCTTAGTCATGTAAGGGATTAATCCCACTCCCCGGGGATAAACAATGAAGTACAGAACCGTATTTATTTAAACTTTTCTATAGTATTGGATGTGGCAATAAAACCTTTACAAGATAAAAGATCCCCGCCATAGCCCAGAGAGGATGGACACGAATGGGACACTTGAAGGTCCCTTACGAGGTGAGGCACTACGCCTACTCAACCTCATAATCCATGACCGACAGGCACTAGGGACAGTCACTGTCATAAATAATTTGTCATATCTCTTGCAGTATTTTCACTGAAAGGGGGCACACTATAAACAATCTTGCTGCCCCTGCAAATATCTATCTGTTTTCGGTAGGATGCCTAAAATGCCTACAATACCACAACTCATTTCAGCTTCAAGGTGTTGTGATACAGGGCCTACATTTTTTTTTCACTTACTGTTGAAGTCTACCAAGTGCGACCTTATGTAGGTGTCAGAGCAAAGGCAGCACCCTCTTATCAGTTATTACAATGCCCTGAGTGTTGGTCCAACTAGGAATGGACCTAACACTCCTGGTACTCAATAAATAATAGTATACATGTAGCAAGTCAAACAGTCAATTTGTCAAACTTGAGACACAATTCAGAAGTCAAACACCAAGAAGGGGCCTACAAAAATGACATCAGTTTGTTAGATGAGTTTATTTAAGGATTGAGATAATAGGTGTGACTAAGACTTCTACAGGAGGATGCACCTAAACAGGGGACCACTAAAGCCAGGCCCAAGCATGACCATTGGGATATTCATTGTCTCAGGGTTGAAAACTAAGGGCTGGAGGCTGGGGATTTCCCTCAACTTCTACGAGCATGATTCCTGGCTACTTTCACAGGAGACAAAAGGAAAACATGACCTAGCCTGTGAGCAAGCTCTCTAAAGCGCTCTGGCAGCAGGGCGGGGGAAGGAAGGAGAGCTTGCAACTATGTCTCTGGAATTTGAATTCCACCTCCAATTCCCCTGAGGCTCCCTGTCAACTGAGCTGTCAGATTTCCGCCAAGGAGAGCGGAGTAGAAACAAGCGTGAATGTAAACAAACACTGAAAAACACGTGCCAAGGGTAATGACATCATTGCTAATGTCATCTCCACCAATCAGCATTTTGCATCGACTTTTTCAATGCAGATATTCAAATTCCAGAGATGTAGTTGCAAGCTGCTCTCCTTTTTTTTCCCAGGGAGCTTGTTCACAGGCTAAATAGGACCAAAGTTATTCCTAGATGTTCCATTCCCTTCCTACTTATTGCATATACCCAGACTTGAAATCCTAGCATCAGTCCTGTTCACTGCACTGCCATAAGTTTGTACATAAGTGTTGTCCTAATAAGTGAAGAACAGTTAAAGGCATTAAACTCTTCACAAGTTACACCCATGTACTAAGTCTGACCAATGCTATATTGCAAACTTACACATCTGGGTCACTGAAGTTCTTTAAGACCGGTAAAAGCTAACCTGTTTTTCTGTGCAGTCATTCTTTGTGTCAGCACGCAATCCTCGGGGAGAAGCACTGTAGGATGACACGAAGACTGAAGCTAACCAAAGGTTTACCTTAAAGGGGTTATGTCATGAGGATATTTGCCGTTTTGGTCATTACTTAGTGCTGTTACCAATGCACAAAATGCTCCTGTGTAGTTAAGAACAAGATATCAAACCAATTTCAACAGGGAGCACTAAAAGTCCCAATATCAACATACAAATTCTCCACACTGATCTCCATACATTTCCTTTACAAATCAGTTGAGAGAATTTAATAACAGAACAAGGTATTTTCTCTTTCGCCATCATTTGTTAATTCTCATAACTGTATCTCTTGACAATTACTGGATATTGTTAGGAGAAAATTGATGTTGGTCACTATCGGGACTTAAACACTCGAAAATGTTCACCCAACCTTTTTCAAGTTTCAATCCATGATCATCCTTGCCATTCCTTGCAAAAGATGACGGGAAACAGTTTTAATGCCTAAGCAACAAAACTGGACCATTATTTTTGGAATTCAATTGATGCAAACAAATTAGCATTTTAAAAAGATAGGAAATAGCATGACTTAAACCCTTGACAAGGCTTACCTTCTTATGGACTATTTTTGATAGTCATTTGGGGTTAGAATAACTTGGTCTCTGTCTTAAGAAACCAGGGAATGCAAGGCTGTGCTCCAGGAAAAATTGAAGGGAGTTCAGTGCTCTGTACCTATAAAATCCAGGGTGACCAGCAAATGATTTGCATGGAAAAAACTAACATTCAAGTCACCAGAGAGCAAAAATTGGGTGCCATGGGCCACCAGGCTCTGCTAGAGCACAGCCTAGGCCTGGATTATACAGCTAGCTACATCGAAAATATCATGACCGTGCAAGTTCTCAACTATTTCAGGTTGTTGCCTGCAGATTCTGGTAAGGAACAGGTGCACCACTCTTCTTGTAGCAGCAATGACCTTTTGATTTGCAGAACAAGATGCCAAGCATGGAAGCAGCAATCACCACAATGAGCATTGGCCACAGTATGCTATGCAGTATCTTCATGTGATCACTAGATGAATCTGCATGCTGCACAAACACTTCACCCAGTGTACTGGGGTTGTAGTAGCAAGCAAATGACTGACCAACAGTGCCGTAATCTTCTTTGAAGTCTTTTACATCATAATAGTTGATATTTTCTTCTGAATAACATGGTTGAACACTGCACTGTAATGAAAAATAAGTCCTGATATGAATAGGCTGACTCATCACAAACTCCAAAAATGATCTTTGAATCAAACAGCATTCTCACAGCATTTCATATTGTTTGTTGCCCACGACATTGTGAGGCCGAGTGGTTAGAGCATTGGAATTGCAATTCTGAGGCCCTGACTTCAATTCCTGTACTAATCATAACTTAATAACAAAATGCACAAATCTGATTGGCTATCAATTGTCCTGATTTCAGTACTAATAGGACAGTGTAACAGCACAGTACGCGTCATTCCTAAGTAATTGGACAGTATGTGCCATTGCATGTGCACATTTAAATGGCTTTTTTTACTGCTAACAAAAAAACTCTCAGAATTTCTTATTTTAATTAAACTAAAATATCATAAGTTTTGTTACAGTTATGATTAATTGCTTTGATTGCTTACGTCGTGTCATCCAATTTGGTCTGTAATCATACTTGTCATTAAACAAATCAGACAACTGCAGGTTTCTGTTAATCACTCGAATTAGACTCCACTCAGTCCTATTACCATTATTAACTGCTAGCTGGATTTATTTTGATCTCAGAGGTCCCAAGATCAACTCCTTAGACACTCCGCCAACCTGGAATTCTTACCCTCGTTATGGGTATTTCAGTTATTTGTTTCTGCCAAAATTTGTGGATCACAATGAAAACTATTGGGTCATAAGTAATTGCACTACCCCTATAAAGTCATGTTTATGATAACAACTAGGAGTAATTGAAGCTTAGGAGAGTGCGTTCGATATGTTTGTTAGGAGTACAGGCAGCAGTTGAGGGGAAGAGAAGATAGTTCTTTCGATAGATAAATATGATTAAAAGATATGTCAATCATAAAATTAGCTACATCCACAAGAAAAACATTTTTTTATCAGAGATGTTCAAACAGCCTTACTTTTGAGAACAAAAGAAATGTTGTGACAATGTTACACAAAGTTCAAACTTGTTAATTCTCTTCCCAACATCTCACAACAATAATAATATTCATCCACTAACAAAGACAAGATATTAAGATGGAATCCATTAGGAAATTGAGTAATTTTCATTTTCAGTGGACAAAAACCTGTACCAGAATAATTACTTTTAAAAATATTGCATTCTTCTTTTAATACATTTTTCAAGGGCTAAAGATGTAATTAGTCATCTTTAATAACACCAAAGAAAATTTCTCGTGGAAGTCCGAGAAAATGAATGTCAAATTTCACTTGTCAAAATACAGGTAAGAGTAAGATGTAAATATTTTGTGAAATCTTTCATTCATTTTCTCAGGTTTCCACAAGAAATTTCCTTTAGTGTTATTACAAACGACTAATTACATCTTTAGTCCTTGAAAGGTAAAAAAGAACACAATTTATTCTTTAAATTATTCTGGTACAAGGCTTTTGTCCACTGAAAATTAAAATTACTCAATTTCCTGGTGGATTCTGTCTTAATTTTGTCACAAAGTTGTGATTATTGGGCCAAAGCAATGTTACGATTAATTTTTCAAAATCTCAGTCGGTACATGTATACAGTTAACATTTTTTAGTAGCATGTTTAATTACTCCTCTCTATCTTACATTGTCTTTGCTTTGTCATCTGCAGTAACCAAACTACCAAACACAACTTTAATTTTCCATGACTTTCAAGGGCCTCCTATTAAATTCCATGATTTTCCAGGCCTGGAAAATGAAATTCATAAATCCCACAACTTTCCAGGTTTTCCATGACCTGTACGAACCCTGCTTGAGTTGATCACTACCTCTCTTTGCTCCCTTTATTTGACTCTCTATAAGACGGATGTCTCTCTGAGATAGACACTCAGTACCAGTCCCAAAGGTGTCTCTCTTAGAGAGAACTGACTGTATACAAGTTATATTAGGATTAGCTCAGTTGGTAGAGTGCTTGACTACAGAGCAGGAGGTCGTGGGTTTAATTCCTAGGGCCAGACCAAAACTCAGGGTTTTAAAATAACAGAGAAATGAATGTACTGAGTTTCCCCTGCATGCAAATGGATAGGGAGGCAGCGTGGCCGAGTGGTCAGCGCGTCGGACTCGCAATCCGGCGGTCCCGGGTTCGAGTCCCGCTCTGACCACTTGCTGGATTTGTGCTCGGTCGTTCCGAGTTCAAATCCTCGGCCACGCTTGTAAATAGCCAACTGGTTGCCTTCTGCCAGTTGGGGTTTTTAATCCTGTTATGTTGTATTTGAATTATTTGTTTCTAAATATTTGAGTGGAGAGCCTGTAAATTAGCTGACTAGCTAAGTGCACCTTCCACTATAAACATGCCTTTAACCTTTAACCTAACATGGCTTGCATGTCCACCTAAAAATGGCAGTCCCGTCTCCAGTAGGGGACATAAAAATAGTGTCCTCAATTAGTACTTTCATGCTAAATACATTGACACTCGAATAAAGTGCTTCTTTTAGATTATACTCACCTTATTCTTATCATCGTATACATCTTGATACAGATAACCTTTCTGCCGTTTTCCACTGGAGTAGTAAGAAACTTGAATCTGTAAGCAAGGGTAAGATGAGGTGCAATAACGACCACAGTCACAGCTCTTATACTCTGTAGTCATTTCACTGGAAAGAACCTGACACTGAGTACGCTGAAGACGAAGATCATTAAGCGTAGGACCGACAATAAGAACACCCAGAATGATAAGGAGGATAATTCCCACCAAGAAAAGGCTGATTCCCAACCTGGTAAGTCGCCATGTACAGCTTCTTCGTGCCACAAATCTACGTGTCATCACTGCTGTTGCAATTCCATGTCGGATGACATGCTCCTGCTGAACACGTACTTCTTGTGGGCCTGTTTGAGGAGGGAATCCTTGGGGATGAAACTGTGCATGTTGTTGAGCTCCTGGTTGGGGGAATGGTGGGTAGCCTAAAATAATTGAAAAAAATTAACAAAAACAAACAAAAACCCAACTAAACGTGCATAAGAAGACTGGCGAATTCTGAGTGGTACTCAACATTGAGGTTTTTGCTTTGCTGAAATCCTACACGTATTTCTCAATTTTGAATAAACGTCAAGTCTCACTAACTATTGCTCCGAAACTATCTTAGAGTGAAAGTACAGTGTAGTCAAAAGTTTATCAAAAGTGTCCATACTTTCTGCGTGGTTTTGTTAGTAAGTGCGAGTTTTAGTATTTAACTGCAAATTTTTTACTCTGAACAAGCAAACTATTTTCCTGTCATTCTCAAAAAAGGGCTTCAGACAGAAACAAAACCACATCAGATTTCTTTCTTACCTAAAAACAACAAACAAAAACCCAAACAAAACTGGAAGAATTCACTTTTCAACTCTTACCATGAAGTCTCTTACCAAGACTTCATTTCAGATGTTTAATCCTAGATCACTATTTCTTTCATATTTTAAGTTAAAACTATATAAACAGATGCTTTGCTTTTCAGCTTGGCTAAATCTATATATTATTAGCTATATCATGTACATGTATGTCAGCCTTGAATATTGGTAATCGGAATGATATCGAGCAAGAAGGTGCTAAAAAGCTTTTGTTGTATTATTACTTTCATTGCATCAAATATTTTTTCTGTAATTTTCTGAAATTTAATGTAATATAAAGGGATTCCTCTTGGGCTTCTTTTATCAACTTTGATATTATTATTAATATACATCACAGCTGATTTTCATCTTGTTGGGTATATGGGGTATTTCTTGGCATTAGGGAAAGTATTTCAAGTCCTAGGATTTCACGGTAACGATCGTTTCTGGTACTGTTTCGTTACTATGGTCTTAAAATAATGGAACCAAAAAACAGTTTCCCAGTGACATTTTCAGCCTTAGGGGTCAACTTTGATTGGTCAACTTTGTCTAAGTGGCCCTGGTTACAGTAGTTGCACTGTAATCATATTCCTGAAAAAAAAAACACCCAGAGACCTTTGCACAGGGTTCTCCAAAAAATTAGAGTAGATAGAGAAAGATTTTATTATAGGTGGCAAAAGATCAGATCAAAATGAGCAGGAAGCCTTTCAAGTGAAAGACTGCTTCATGTGGGGTTAGGTACGGCTGGGGGTTGCCCCTTTCCCTGGGAAAATAGTTATTTTTAAGGCTCTGGGGGGAAGTGGATTGTGAAAACCACCAGTGATGAATTCAACAGAAGTTTTTATCAACTTTTGGGCAAATCGATCACAGTTCTCCACAGATTCTCCTGTGTTTTCTGGGAATAAATTTTAGCCAATCGATTTTAAAATAATTACCTCTGTAGGTGGAACATGCATCTCAATTGCGGATTCAATAGCGCTTTGTGCTATTTCTAAAAATAGGTTTGCCACCCTAGACCCCCCACGACACAGACAAACTTTGCATTTTACTCAAAGCCTTTGTATGAGCAACATGCGTTTCCGACTTGAAAATTGTTCATAAAATTCGCAATGAGCATTTTTAAAATGTTTTTTGAGTTTTATTTTAATATATGAAAGGCATTATTGCTATAGGGAGCAAAAACTGGTCCAAGTAACACAAATATAAACAGTTAAAAGCAGAAAATAAAGGGACCGATCAAAGAAGGTTATTGAAATCAGATCCCTAGCTCTGTTTTAGTCAGATAGCACTCGATGCACCGAAACATGGCACAACATTTCTGGCTGTGTAATACTCCAAAACCGAAATTGCTAAAGAGAAAATTGGGTTTGCATTTGCTTTTCGCGAGCCTGTGGCGGGATTTCTAAGCTGAAAAGCACACCAACATTAGCACAAACTGGAAATTGTAAAAGTTTGTTGTGTTGCTGTGCAGCCAGGTAGGTACCATATATACAGTACTTTATATCCCGCAGTACTAAGTGGCGTAATATCAGCACTCGAAAACAAAACTTGGGCAACCTTGGCCTATAGATTTAACCAAATGTACCGTTTTATGAACAGCTTTGAAGCCCTGCTCTCCATGCATTTCTTAGTTAAGTGCTGTAACTTAATTTCACCCACAGTAATGACACCGCATTAGAAATAAAATCACTCATATGTACAGTTTTTTCCATGTTTAACATTGTCATGGCACACATTTATTATTTTCAGGATATATGTTATCGAAGCCAAGCTGGATTTCGTTTCTTTTGACGGTAAAAATCTTCAAAGATAACGAAAATTTGTTGGCGAACATGACTTTCCCATACAATTTAAAGTCTTATACTGATCAGGTTCAATGTCTGAGTCACAGCAGGGACCAGTAATTTGTGACGTCATTGGTGCAAAGTGCTATTGCAGATTAGTCTGATAGAACATTGAGTTAATCAAGAGGAAGCGTCATATTGGTGCTTCATTCTTGAAATTCTTGTAAACAACTTTATGCAAATTTCTGTTGACATTTGAGCCATCGCGTTAAAGCATTGCATGACAAGGCAATAAAAGCTTGTCTGAATTTTTAATATTGACTTCTGATGAAATACCAAAGAGGTCATGCTGTTTGCCAAACAGAGTTCTCGCCAAATCAACTTCTTTGCCTGAACTATCAACAACATTTCTTTTGGACCATGAAGTGAAATTTTGGAGGACACTTTCAATCACGTGCTAGGCAATGAAATGAATTAAGTTTCACTGCACACAAATATGGGAAGCAAAGCAAAACTAATGATTTTTTTTCTTTAATAACACACATAATATTTTTTTGGAATTTCTAAAGATAAGTTTGTCTAAATGCATGTGTATTTCATTTCCCGAAGTTCAAATACTTCTTTGTGGAGATTTATGCTTTACTATTTACCTTCGAACACCACTATATGGAGTTCTTCAGCTGATGCTACACATTTATGAACAGACATCAAAACCATTTGAAAGGAACTGTAAAATGATGTTGACAATTGGACTTTCAAGAGCATTCTTAATCTGAAGCAAGGGTGTTACAGACCCACAAAAAGACATTCTCCCTAAGAACTTCTTCTCAACAGAGTATTACCATAGAGCAAGGTAAAGATCGATGGATTGACTAATAAAGTTATGAATATATGAAAATCATATAGGTGAACTGTGGGGTGAAGAAATACATGAAAGTAGATAATTGCAGCTATAGAAGCAACTTTTGCAACAAATGTTGCTAACAGATATGGCAAACGGTTTAAGATCAGATGCTAACAAACTGTCTAAGGTATCTGATGGATACAACAAACAATCACGCGGATACAGATAAGTTGCTAACGGATTGCCAAATGCCTCTACTGGTTTCCATTGATTTGACTAATGCATGACTAACAGCTAGTTAACGGTCTTAACAGTTTAACAGAATATCGTTAGTGTATGTTTTCCCAAAGAAGGTCACCAATAATGAATTCAAATTGCCACATTGCCCCCTGTCTAACAGATACCCCCTTTGAGAAGTGCTCCAAACTAATAGGAAATAGCAAAAAGGAGGAGAAACATTCAATTCATTCAGATTCTTGGTTGATTAACCAGGCTTTGTGTACTTTATCTTGCTCAATGCCAAGTTCAAACTAAGGCCCGGTTCAAACGTCAAATTTCACCTGTGCCGAATACTTAATGCAAGAGTTAAATACATGTGAGGCGCGATGCTTGAATAAATTTAATTCGACTCTTTAAATTAAATGCCACATTTGCTGTATCTGGGACTGAAACAGTCAAAGATTTGACTTAGGCTAGACTTCTGATTCATACATTGCATTTCACAGGTGGCAAACTTAATGCATGAATTTTGGTAAATTATTATTATATTACTGGGAATATTGACAGCAAACAGAGTTAAATTCAACAGAGTTCAGAGAGTTAAATTCAACATTTGAATCAAATGCCATATTAAGCTATTTTTAGTCGACTAAAATAGGAATTAATTTCGGCACATGTGAAATTCGACATTTGAACTGGGCCTAAGAATCTAGACTAATGATGGTAACACAATAACCCTGAGCCAAGATTCTGACTCTGATGTTGCGATTTGAAAGAATGATATGGATCTCTAGATGGCCCATACATATCAATAATTTGTTATTGATGGAGTGGATACTCAGCTACAACGATACATGTGTTAACTCTCTTGATATTTTTGCTGAAAGCTTTGTAGTGTTGTCGAGCTTGTTACAGTTATGAAAATTTAAGAATTTGTTCATGCTTAGCGTGCGTATATCGAGTTATGGATGCACGCGGGAAGTTTGGAGAGCACGAAAGATGCGTAAGAGTTGCACGAGGCGATAGCCGAGTGCAACTCTAGCTTCTTGAGTGCTCTCCAAACTTCCCAAGTGCATCCATAACTCGATATACGCACAGCTAAAAGCATGAGCAAATTCTTTTATAACATAGCTCACAAAAATGCATGCTTTTTGATTAACTGCAAAATTCTCTTAACGTGTGACACAATAACAAACGGTTCTATTGGCTGATTATGAACACGCCACAATCGTCTAGTTTGAATGAAAATATCCTTTCTGTAAAAGTGAGAAAGAAAATTTGCTTCTTTATTCGTTAACGATCAATGGAAACTAAGCAGAAACAAAGGTAAAAGAGTCTTAAAGTTCACCTAAAGTTAAAACTAACATGTTCATAAGAAGTCGTGGAGTATGATTTGGATTTGCTGAAAAGATGTTTACGTTTTGCTCAGCGAAATCCAGAAAACATGTTTTTAGTGAAGACGACTGTCATCCTTCTTTAAACTTATATTCATTTACGAACATTGGCTGGTCATTACGGCTTCTTGAGGAGACCTGGCAGCAGTTGTTTTTGTGAGTAATAAATTTATGTCTTCTTGTGTAATTTGTGTTGTTATTGCGATAGAAATTTTCCTGCTTCAGTCGGATTGTCCGGAGATAACAAAAGTGCATAACAAATTCAAAAACAGCAATAAAAACGGAAATTTTGCCTTTAAATGTTGTTGATGACCAGTTGGTGTCTGTTCTGTTCCCAGTGAATGTCTTTCGGCCAAAATTTGCTGCAGCTGGTCTTCGACAAATTTGCGAACGGCGCGCAACTTGCGAGATTTTTTATTTTAATTCGGCTTTATTTTTGCTGCTTGTTGGATCAGGACCTAAAAGGTCAATGCCGATAGAAAAATTGGGCAGACAACTTTGCACCCAGGTAAAAAAACAATGCTCACGTCATCTTATTTACGCACGGGCGTGCGTAAATAAAGATTTTGTTCATAGCGGCTCAATAGGAGTTATATAGGGCAAGCACGCGCGCTATGTTATAAAAATGTCTCTCTCTTTTAAATGGTCCTATCTATTAAGCACCCCCACACCCCAGGAGTTTATTAGATCATTTGCACTAGGCCATTTCATTTTCTGAGTTCCAAAAACTCTCACTTTCAAAAGTACGAGCCAAGGTGCAAACCTTTCTTGTGAAAATAGGTTTTATTTGCATGATAACAAAAAATGCTTTTCATATCAATGGCTTCGCACTTGGCCTCGCTTTTACATAGAGACCTAAGGTAATCCAACACATGTGGGTAATTAATTAGTGAGCTTATGCAACAGGACGGCAGGAGAAAAAAGACGGAAAACAACAAAATCTGCACATATAACCATTGTCACGCTGTTCATAGCATAAGGTTGGCCGTCTTCTTTCCTCTGCCGTCCTATTGTGCAAGTTCATTGCCAATAAACTACCAGATCGAGTTTTATCACCCTGTACCTTGATGGGGATTCCATGTGTATTGTTGCTGTGCTGATTGAGGTGGTCCTGTTTGGTTTGGATACTGCACCATTGGAACTTGTGAATACGGTGGTGGGAGCTCAACTCCTCCATGTTGATTTGGCGCTATTTCGCTCGGTTGGGTCGAAGGACTATTCGCCGCCATGTTGCTAAATGGATCAACAACGTTGGACTGAACTTCGACGTTTGTTTTGTTGTCACTCATCTTTCGCGCTCTGTTGTAGCGTTTTAGTAGTGAGGAAAGGGTTTAATTCTTTGGTTGGACGTCGCAAACTACCACAATCTTTCGCAGAAGCTCTCAATGAGTATTAATAGCAAAAATAGACAGCGCGCTGGGGACGATGGGAAGAGGGAATCCTCTCCCTTTTCCCCTTCCCATCATGCCCCGCGCGCTTTCTTCTTTTTTTTTTTTTTTCCCAGCCTCCCTACGACACAAACTGCGGAGGAGAGAGCGGTCACTGCACAGAGTGTTGTGAAGATTTACTGTGGCCCCAGCGTGACAAAACTTAGCAGGGATTTTATCACTTACACAGACAAAAAAATCATGTAGTTATTCTGATCCAGGCATTTCGGAGAAATCTTAAGAAACTAAACAACCTCGTCCCCAGGGCTTTTCCCTCAAAAAAAGTCCTGGGGATCTCCCAGTTCTGTTAGCAGTTGTAGTATAGTGCGTATTCGGTGGACAACGCAGGAAAAACGCGTCCCAAATATGAGAGATGTAGTCTTCATCTTCAAGTATGTCGTGCGTTCGTTTGTTGCGTGACAAATATGCGAAAACGCTCACCTTGTAATTTATTTTAACTTTTATTTCAATAGTTAACAGACGTAGCCTGTGCACAAACACCCACTCCCCCCACCCCCCACACAAAAAAAACGAGCGGTGGGGCCGTCTATACACAGGCTTACTAGAAGCTAACTTAATTTTCATTTTTGTTCACACTTTTTACAATTTCCATTCACTCCGATATAAATAAATGAATTCGTGACCTAAATCTTTCTAACTGATTTGACAGTAATTGATAAGAAACTACTCCATCAGGCAGTACCGGTTACGTGGTTGCTTAGCAAGCTTTTGGTTCGCGCTCGTTTGGAGCTCACTTTGTTACATGAATTTCATATCATGGAACCGAAGAATGAAGAAATAAGTGCAAAGGAGGTCATCGCAGTTCAACACGCAACTTTCACAGCTGGGAAAAGAAAATCTTAAAAGTCAGGCATGTCGGGATTGATTCAAGCCCTGATCTCTGCGATACCGGTGTAGATCTCTAAGCAATAGCCCATGTTCGATACACAGATATTTCGAGAAAGGTTGTCGAAAAAAATGTGCACGCGACAATCCCGAAAGGTAATATGGGATATGATCAATACACTCTTCCTGACACTGTAGCTGTCGAACCTACTTTTGTTGCTTTCCTTTAGCAATTGCAAACATAAATCCATCGCAAATTTCTTTGAAGAACAGAGAACTCAAAACCATCCACAACACCTAATACGGGATTGTCGCATGCACTTTTTCCGACAACCTTTCTCGAAATAGCTGTATATTACATGACATGACTCTGAAGCTTTCTGGTCATTTTTCTATATTTGGTTTGGTTTTCTTTGTGCTCAAGTCTCTTCTGGAAATTACGAGACAATGGAGTCGTGCAAAATTTGCAATTTTGACCCTAAAGCATCGGAGTCATGTTAGAATTTTAATATATCAAACGTGGGCCATTGAGCCAGCAAGCCAACCGGGACCTAGTACCGCTATCGCACAGGTATGGGTTCAAAACCCGGCAAGCCTGAATTTTTAACAGGCTTTCATTTCACAACTGCATAAGCTGCGTTTTTCACTGCGATGAACTTTGCATTTATTTCCCTTTGTTATTTGCCAAAAGGTTTCTTGTAGAGCACGGTCAACGCTAATAAGCCATAATCATAAACACAGATAACAAAACGCAAAGTAGCGTAGTTGTACAAGTTAAAAAGCACCATGCTTTAACAAAGGAAAGTGTCTTCTTCATCTTGTGTATTCGAAAAAGGCTCCCTTTACTATCACATTGAGTGTCTAGAGCGGCAAAAAGGTCAACGAGTTTATACAGCTTGTAAGGAACGATGCAATTTGTGTCTGGTTCATTTTCTGAGAAGGATTCCTTTTTCGTAAAGCAACGTCACCAAGTCGATCTGAAAGAGAAACCGGAGAAAAAAATGCACATCAACTATCAAATTTTTACTAGAATTTTCTTTTAAGAGGGTGTTGAGGCACTTAAAATTTTCCGCAAAATTTGAGTTAGCTCCAAACCAGCTCGATAGAAGTTTTTAAAACCTTTTGTGAAGTTAAATCGTGACAGGCTGATTACAATATGATTTAGTAATAAAAGCGGTAGGGACCAACTCTTGTGTCGGTTTAAGGAAGATCAAGAGTTCTTTTTACAGAATTATGTATCTGATTGCAGAGAGCTAACTCTACTTATGGCTAAAAAATAAGGCTCCATCTAACAGGTTAAGCCATTACTTTCGCAATTTGTGGAAAAAAGAAATGATCAAAAATCATTGAGCGTTACAGCAATAAAGTTGAACCTCCGTTAACCCTTTAAACCCTAAGATCAAAATATTTTTGATTGTTGTCCCTGCTCATTTCCTACAGAAGTAGTGAGGAGAAGTTAATAAAATATCAAGCAAATTCATCTTGTGTGATCATGTCCGTAATTCTCATAACCACTCTGTTTTACAAGGCATTGAAATTACAAGGAGAAATTTGATGCTGATCACTCTTAGCGCTTAAAGGGTTAAGCGGCTACCCTAGGGATACCGGCAAGTAGCCGCTGAATGGAAGTTGGCCGCTAAATAGAAAATCGTCCTAAATTGGCAGAATCTTTAGCACAAACATCACTTTATTTTGAAACAAACGTGCAACGGGGCGGGGTAAGCATATTTACTGGTCCACAATTGGTCGCCACCTTGTGTCTCATACTGTATTTTCCTTTATCATTTTCTTAAAACGAAGCCAAACTAAGTGTATCAAGCGCCTCATGGCCGCTTAATAGAGGTAACAACAATGGGAGAACTCTCGTAGGGACGGCCAAAAGGTCGCCACTTAATAGAGGTTTAATTTCGCATTCTTTTCTACAGTTATTTCGGGGGCTTTGATTGCTGACCACTTACCAAAAGGTCGCCTCTTAATAGAGGTTTAATTTCGCATTCTTTTCTACAGTTTTTTCGGGGGCTTTGATTGCTGACCACTTACCAAAAGGTCGCCACTTAATAGAGGTTTAATTTCGCATTCTTTTCTACAGTTTTTTCGGGGGCTTTGATTGCTGACCACTTAATAGAGGGTGGCCGCTTGATAGAGTGTTCAAGTGTATGTTGGTCACGTTAATTAGCGCATGCAAGCACAAATACAAAACTAGAGACTGGTATTTAAAGCTTACTTTGAAGTCCTTATCATCATGAGGCAAATCTTTCACTTTGATATATTCCGGGTAACGACTTAATATCACCTCTATTACTGGACCAGCCTAGGAACACAGGAAAAAAATGAAAAAGTTTGCTGGATTCACTGAGAAAATCCCTGAAAACGGCGAATACAGACCTGACGCAACGACTGAAAGCGAATGCAATGATAAGGGGGGAAAACAACAACAACAAAGCAGCAACTCTACATGTGCATGACACGTGCATCACAATTTGCTACTTTCGAAACGAGAAGGTAACTGGAGCCAAAATGTATCCCGCAATTGTTTTTGGGATCCTTACTGAAAGTAACGCGCCGGTCAGCTATTGGCCAATATTTTTCCCTGTCTCTAGTAACAGTCCCAGAAGTCTTTGCGAAAGTTAACGTGGCTCATTCAGGATTTGATGGATTGTGCTAGCATAATTTGGGGGATAATTCGTCATTACAAGCATAATTTTCATCTATTTTTCGAAAAAAGCACTGCTCGCATAATTTGCACTTTTGGCTAGTTTTGCAGCATAAAATATTCGAATTTATTGACCATGCAACCAATGTTATTGGCCTGAGATCAGTGTCACAGGCAAATTTAAGTAAGAAATCAATTTTTTGTCTGGTTATTTTCACACAGAAAATGACCCAGGATTCTTTTCACAGGACTCAACGCATGCGCATAATTAGCCTGGTTCCAAAAATGGCGTCTGCGTGCAAGTTGTTAGTTGTTTGAGTTTTTATAGTTGTTAGACAATGAACCCCACTGTGAAAGTTTCTAGACGTACATAGGGTAAATGTGTTTGTTTTCAAATTTAAAGAGAAAAGTGGAACCACAAGTTCTGCACTTCTGTCTAAAATGAGCATAATTTACAAAAAACTAGCATAATCACTGGGATAATTTTAGACATATGCGAGCACTGCTAGTAGCATACTGTGCTACTTTTTCGAGCACAATTTATCAACACCTAGGCCCAGTTTTCTCCTGGTTTCTAGTGGCAAATGTTTGAAAATGGGTAAGTCTGTATCTGCTGTATGCATTTACAGAGTATAAGGGACTCTTGGACATAACCTAAATGTTTGATTAAATTCTGGTTTTTCCAAAAAGAGGTATACGCCACTTGCACATCTCCCATAATGCACCTTATTTGCCCCCCAAAATTTTGCATTAGCGTTGTTTTCAATTTCTCTAGGGACGGTTGTAATACCCAGGATAAATGAAAAACAAAGGTTATGCAAAATTTGGGGGGGCAAATAAGGTGCATTATGGGAGATATGCAAGTGGTGTATCTTAGGAAGATGAGGCCATTTTTTGGAGTTTATAAAGGAAAACCTGATCATCAGGAAAAGGTTCCTACTCTACCTCCAAGCCAAGCTCTAAACTGTCCAGCTCACACTCGTGATACACTCGAGAATTTCCCAATGTATGATAAACGTTTACGCCTTCGCCTTCAACAACCAGCCTGAAAAGACAGCAACGGAAATAGACTCAGTTATATCGTAAGAACAATTATCAAATTGATACTGGCCTTTTTTCCAATGCCAGCAAAAGGTTAGACATCCATGTGTTCATTATGGCTTTACATCTATACTGATATCGAAGTTTGTACTTTTATTTTATTTGCCATATTAGAGAGACACGTGACGATCTTACTGATTCTCTGACAAAATTCATTTCCTACGGAATCCCACGTTAAATGGAACACAAAAATCCCGGAGGGGTTCTCCCTTATATAAGCCATATAGATATGTGCTGCCCCAAAGGGTAGGGGTTTTGCGCTGTCTTGGTCTGAAAACAAGCATAGACTTTGCTCATTTTGGTCTGGAATCGGGTATGGTTTTTGAGGGAACTGCGGGAATTTACGAACGTATTTATCGTTTCAATTCCAAATGAATAAAAAAGTCCCACGATTCCATGCACGCTATTGAAAGTATACATTTGCCTCCAATCAAGATGTGAGTTTTCACTTACTTATGAGATTCTGTTACAAAATTAATCTTGTGTATATACATGGTACCAATCAAATCTATCTTAAGTTCTACTTTTATTTTCGTTTGTTCTAGGCACAACCAAGAGATCATAATGGGAACTGTCCAGTTATGTTGGCCCAACATATAGAGTTCCTATTCGCTGCGAAAACAAAACCGCATACCCCCAAAAAGATGAAGGACAACATTCGAGCATCTTCGGGTGGGTTTTTCCGCAAGTGAAAACAGCGCTATGGAGCGTTTTCACATGGGGTCATGGCGGCCATATTGGTGTTTCCAAACAATGAAACGGCGGCCATGTTGGTGTTCAAAACCAATCCTGTGTGAGTCGAACTGTTTTCGCGCAAACGGTTTTTTTTTTCCAATAAATTTGCATAGATACTGGCCACGAGAGTGAGAACGCTATATACGACATTGAGTTGATGTACAGTTAGATTTGACGTCAGCTTTCTAAGCGTACAGAAATCTACTTAAACGTTAGTACCTTGCAACCCCTTTTCGTATGATCCTAACTTCGGTCTCTTCGTCAATTGCAACTTTGTCGGAAATCTTGCCGTCGTTCCATGAAGATTCGCCTCCAAAAATGCTTTTGCTTGTTTCTCCTAAGAACAAGCCAACAGCATAAACAAAAAGTTACAATCTCAGACAGAAACCTTGAAACACTTTGAAAAATATCGCTAACTTTGCAATCACATTTGAGCATTGTAGAGGGAAACGGAAATGTATGGGTGTTCCAAGGGTTTTTGGCAAGGATTATAGTTTTCTGAGAAAATACCCTGAACAATTGGATCCTTAAGCAGTTGGAAAAGAGAGCCTCAACAAAAATCGATTCGAAAAGATAACGATATTAATCATAACTATAACAAAATTGTCAAATCTGATTGGCTATCAACTGCCCTGATTTCAGCCTTAATTGGACAGTTTAATAGGACAGTACGCGTCATGCCTAAGTAATTGGACAGTACGCGCCATCACGCGCGCGCTTAAAGGGCTTTTTTTTTTTCACTGCTAGCAAAACAAAATTTCGAATTTCTTGTGTTTTGATTTAAAAAATAGCCTATTATGTTACAAATTTTGTTAAAGTTATGATTAATTGGTAACAGAACAAAAGTGAATTTGCCTTGTTTCAGTTTTCATTGCGATTATTGCTACCCAATTACTTTGTCACATGTAGGCGAGCCCCTCTGAAATTGAATTTCTAGGAACCATATCCAATTTCAGACAAACAAATAAAATTTCGTCGTCACTTGTTTACGTCCTCCTTAGTACATAAAAGTAGGCAACTTCACGTCGTAGTCGTGCAAAAACAGGCAACAGGGGGTAATGAACGTACAAAGTTGTTGTTTTATTTACCAGCTTTTCTGGACACAGTCCTGCCCAGAGGGAATGTGCACGAACGGGACTCATAGGTCCCATACAAGGTGCCATCCCTGCCCAGTCCCAATTGTTTTTTGACGTTCTCGTTGTCGTTGCGTCGTCGGATCTTTAAGGGCCTGTTTACGTGGAGCTGGGGAACCCCAGGTGGGAGAGGTAACCCGCCTGTCCATATAATCTCTCATACGGTCACCCCACCTATAAACGTGATCAAATTGAAATGAAAGATTATATGGACAGGCGGGTTACCTCAGCTAAGCGGTTACTTCACCCGCCTGGGGCTCCCTACCTCCATGTAAACAGGTCCTAAGTCCCAAATATGGAACTTAAGCACTGAACGACGACGACCGCAACAAGAACGGCAAAAAAGCAATAGGTTTCGATCAGCAAAACAACAACTGTGCACGTGAATCATACTTTTTCTTACACTTCTTCACCGTCACTGCACGACCACGACGTGGAACTGCTTAACTTCACTTTTTGTAGAGAACGTAAACACAAGACCTAAACCTAGACACAGTCCTTTAGAATTCAACTCCAGAAAGATTCATCAAAATTTGACAAATTGAACAATGTGGAATAAGAGCGAAGAATTTTGAAAACGCCTGAATTCACTTTTTTGCCACCTTCGTCGTCTTCGTTGTTTAAACTCCCAGGGCGACGAAACAGAACAATTGGAATCTGAGCGGGAAAATACTTCTTAAATGAAGTCAACAGTCATACCACGGTTTCTTGTTTTACCTGCTGTCAAAACTGGGGGTAAGCAATCACGAAGGACGCCAACAGCCATCTATGCAGAAGGGAAGAACAACAAAAACTATCGTTTATTTTCAGCCAAAAAGTTGAAGGAAGCACTTTGACTATTTTTCCTTGAAATAGATACATCTAAGTAGCAGTTAATAATTTATCAAGTAGTTTTCTCTTTTACGCAGTTAGCCGAAAAGACTGTCTTAAAGTTTGTGCTTTACCTGTCTTCATGGATTGGTCGAAGGTAAAGACAAAAGTCACGCAGTATACCTGGTCAGCAGCAGCATCCACTGGAGCATGCGACGCTAATTTCATCATCAGTTTCTCGACCTTCCTGAGGAAGTCTGTTCTTTCTTTGTTGTTCTAAAACAATGACAAGATGAATAATTTCTAAGAAATAATAGTCATATGCGATGCTAACAATGTAAAAACGCAAAGGAAAACCTACTTAGTCGGTAAGAAACCACAACATCAAAACCTGCCCCAAGCCTCTGTTGCAAAGCGAGTCTAAGTGCGAAGCTATTGATAAGAAAAGATTTTGCACCAAGCCTTGTTTTGAAAGTGAGAGATTTCGAAACTCGGAAATGGTGTAATGGAAGTCACCCTCATTGCATTGGTGCAACGACGGAAAAGAAATGTACAAAAAACTTGATGCACGTGCAGAGTTGTTGTTTTACTAATATTATTGCTTTTTGCCGCTCTCGTTACTGTCGCCATAATGGTTGCTTAAGCTCTCTAATATCGCAGAAAGTACAATCCGCACCACAGGAAACTAAATTTTGTTTGTACTAAGCCTTCCGCACTCCAAAGCCGTAAGTTTTAGCATAAAGTACATCTTGATTATCAATAAATTTAAAGGGAAGCTAACCTCCAGGGGCGGGGGTGCATCAGAAATATTTGAGTGGGGATGTGCCGCCGGGATCCCGGAACCCTTAGCCTATACATGTATATGCCAGAGCTATTTCAGCTGAAATTTGCTACCCTATCCGCTTGGACTTAACTCCCAAACTCTCTCCCTATTCTAGAGTCGCTGTTTTCCAGAAACTACGGAGGTTGATGCTTTCTGTGCTGTTAAATTGAGTTGCAGGTAAATTTAAATTGCCGATTCAAAATTTTTGAGTTTTAATTCAGGGTATCCCTAATCTAGACTAAAATTTTCAACCCATTGACCACTTTCCTGGAAAGTGAACCCTATTCTAAACCAAAACGTTCCTTATTTGTATTCCCTATCCCAGACTAAACTGCCTGAAAACCATACCCTTCACAGCAGCAAATACCCATATAGCCCGTACACGGCAGTACCCCACTGAAGCTTACCAACTCTGAATTTGCCACACCCATGTAGTCGAGATAATTCAGTGGCAAACCCTGACGGAACTCAAGATCCTCCTCGAACGCAGTTTGCAGTGCTCCTGGAATTAACTAAAAACAAAAAATAACTTATTACTCTTTAAACATTCTAAAAAGTAGTTGCGTTCGACTCAGTAGAAGTCACAGTAAGAAAAATCGAGATTTCACTTGACGGACAACCGTTTGGCCACACTGGCTTGTTTTTTTTTTTCGCAGCGGCTGGGTCATAGTTTTCACACTAGCATTTAAGAGGCCCTGCGCCTAAGAAACGACCGATGATTTCCGGCTAAAAAATAAAATCGGCCGATTTTTATCTCCCAAGTAGAGGTTACCGAATACTATTCAAAAATGAATTTCTTTTGTTTCAGTTTCGCTTTCAACCAAAAATATCGAGCCGCAAACTTTTTCCGTCTGATAGCAGCACAATCAGGCCTAAAATAAGCCCTCGCAAAAAACGGTTCAGAAATCCCTATCGCAACGCAAAATAACGAGAAAACCACACAGTGATGAAGAAAAAGGCCTTTTAATGCAATATCATTCGATAAACATCGAAAAACTGCCGAAGGGAACAAAAAATAAATTTGCAAATATTGCATATTAAATTAGATGGAGCGTTGGAGCTGATTTTAAAATAATTATTTCTCAAAAGTCCAACGCTGTTGAAAGCAATCACAGTGATGAATCAGACATGGGAGGGATATAGATTACGATTCTGGAAAAACATTTTTCGGCCAAAGTATATTGGCGTTGTACAAAGCGTTCAAAGTTGCAGTATTTACCGTTATCTTGCTACTTCGGCGAAACACTTCTCTGTTGCCAATACGGCCGTGGATAGCGTGGTAAACGCCACTTTAATCCTTGCTAGGTGCTCAGAGACCATCCTAAGTAGAAGGACGTAGAATTAAAAGAGAAAGGAAGATGAAAAATAAGCAGAAAAAGAAAACAACTCGAAATTACCATCTGCTGAAGAAACTTGAATCTGGAAAATGTCGTCGCGTGACAGCGGCCAATGACGTCATTTGTCTAAACTGCGGCGGAATCTAAACGAATGCACAACTTCTTCGCGGCCAGAAAGCACTTAGTGAAACAATGTAATGTTATTTTTTCACAAGCGATGCCAGGTGACTTAAAAAAAAAATTCCCGAACCGTTGCACCGTTTTGGCCTCAGCGTGATCTGATCGTTGTGGGGTCACGAGTCGACGCTTCTGGCCAGCGGTCTATTGAAAGAAATCTGACCCCACATTTTTTTTTCGGGCGAGAATCATTCATGTCAATGTCCAATGTCTTCCTTCAAGTAAAAAAAAGAGAGAGATATTGGAGTACTGTTGCTCCCGAGAACGAGGAACATCTTGGTTCCGAAAACTGAGTTCATTACGCCCAAGAATTACGTTTTTTTTTTATCATTTTTTTTTCTCAAAGGACTATTATCTGGCGCTATAAAATGTAGCTAACAGATTCAATTCTTGGCCCAATGATTAGCCTCGCGTTTAGTATTTTCTTGGACATTAAAATATATGGGGTGACGCTATTCGGTGGAATGACGGACTGACGGAATGACGGAACGGAATGATGGAATACACGGAATATTCTAAAATACGGAATATACGGAGTACTCTAAAGCGCAGAATAAGAGAAAATTTTCGTTTAAAAAAGGTAAACATGTGTACAGTCGACTCCAATAACTCGAACCCTCGCTACTGACTCGAGCCTCGTGCTAACTCGAAGTAATACTAATTTTTGTTTCTCTTCAGATCATTTCTATATAATTTTACCCTCATTAACTCGAACCATGTTTTAAGCGTGTGACAAGTAAAAGAATTGACTTACCGTAATGATTCGATTTAGCGCCTAGGCCCTTATTTACTTTTGGTGCCTCTAGCCGGGAGGACGCTTATTCGGGACAGGGCGCTTATTTCTTTTTTGAGAAACAGCCAAATGTTAAAAAAGAACTTTGATATTTAATTAAAAACGAACAATATTTGAAACTGTAGCAGTAACAAATACTGACGATGAATGCGCAGTTAACGTGAGGGACTTACCTTGAAACTTGTTGGGCACTTTGTCGACGGGACTTTTCTTCCTTATCTTCACCTTTCTTAAAAAAGCTCGCAGTGAGAACAAAGTGCAAGTCGATTAAGGTAATGGATCAAGGACACTGGAAAACGGACTTGTTGTCCCTGGATCCTTCCTCGCCAGAACGACCAGCCGAGCAATCTCCACAAAATTTGAAGAAGAGATCATTCCTTTGAAGAATTTATGCACTCACATGGATATAAGACCACTGTTTTTATAATGTGGAAATACCGTTCGTGTGTGAGCTATTAAATGGAGATGAACCTCGATTGATACGCACCCGTACTCTTCCATAATATTAGAATGGGGGCGCTTATTAACGAAACACATTGGAAGGAGGGCGCTAAATCGAATCACGGTTTTGGAGGCCGTATTGACGGGTAAGCAACCACCTGAAAATATACAGTGTTGAGTGTAATTTTTTTCCTTCTGCCGAATAAAATTTCCCAGGAAAAATTGCGGACAAATGTCTGGAAAATCTAAAGCAAGCGAACGGACAAATTTAGGCACAGGTGCGGCCCCCATTAATTGTTAGTACAATCCTGTCAACAGCCGTTTTATGAAAATTACCCGTCAAGATGGCTTTCAAAACCGTCGTAAGGTCTATAGTGTGGCTTACGGCAGTACGAAAATTGAATTTTTAATATTTCAAAACAACAGAGTATTCTTTGCCTCTGCTTTTTCGTCAGTCCAGTTCAAATCAAATACAGAATGTTCTGTAAATTCCGTGTTTTAGAGTATTACGTTTGTTGCATATTTTACAACTGAATCCATGTATCCCGCCATTCCGCCGAATAGAGTCACCCAAATATTGGGGAGGACATCATAAAAAAAGCTAGGAGACCGGTAGGACTTTTAAATCGATGAAAGTGCCTCACTCATTTTGCAACTTCATTTTATAATATGCTTCATAATTTGTTTCCACAAAAATATTTATGATATTTAGATAATAACCAATGCACTACGCACAACTTGTCACATAACATTGGACAGCATACCATGCACTCAAACTCTTGCGCTGGAAAGTTACTGTATGAAATTATTTTTTGCTGCACTCAGTCACATTCCTTTATACTGAAACCTTGGCTAAAAGGTCTCTTTTTAGATCTGTAGATTTGTTTCGAAATACCCTCACATGTCCTTCAACACCAACATTGAAAGATGAAAGTTTGTTGCTGTGATAATATTGACAAAGATTGTAAACATCAAATATAATTGGATGTTTTAAGCCCAAATTTTCTATCATCTCTTCAACAGCATGGAGGGGGAAATGGGGGCTTACGGTATTGAGCTTTTATTCAAGCGGTATTTCGGTAATTTGCATTTTGAAGTGGAGTATTGCGGTATCATTTAGCACTGCGGTATGCGGTATTTCATCCTTTTGGTTAACGGTATTCGGTAAAAGAAGATCCTTCACGGTATTGCGGTAGCCTGCGTAGCTTGTCTCCCTCGCGCGCGCGCGCCCGTTCTCTCGCGCGCCCACTACTTCCAAGCGCCTGCTGTGCAGGCTAGTTTAATGCACGTCAGTATTTTTAAGACTTTAGATTAATGTAAATGATTACCAGCACACAATTTCTGACAGATAATCTATGATGAAATTGATAGGGAATCTTTTTCGATCGTTTTACCGATCAACTCGAGGTCGTCTCACGTTTCCTCGCAATGGCTGAGGTTGATTGCTGGTGCATAAATGCTTGGAATAAACAAACACGCGAGATGGATACAACTTTAAGTAAGCATGACCGAAAATAAATGCGGTATCGGTATTTCGTCGATTTTTGACACAGTATTTCGGTATATGCCAATTTTTCTTACGGTATTGCGGTATTGGGTACCTACCAATGTCCCCTCTAGCACGGCGTTGCTCTCCAACTTCGTCACATTTCCTCCGGTCCGCTGACCCCTACACGCGCTGACCCGTAACGTCCGTTGGAATGTATGTAACGAAATACAAGCAGCCACAAGCAGCCAACATTCAAAGTACTTGGAGACTAGCTGAGGCTGAATTCATCATCATTAATAGGAATAACATAAAACTGTTTCACTTCACGATTTCTGGTGATAGAAAGATTGTTTTTTTAAACTTATATTCACGTATTTGTTTGGATCCTGCTGCAGTTCGGACAAATGAACGCTGTCACGCGACAACATTTCCAAGATTCAACTCTCCCTAGCAGATGGTAACTTCGAGTTATTCTCTTTTTCTGCGAATCTTTCATTTTCCTTTCTCTTTTAATTCTATCTACTTCTATTTAGGATGGTTTTGAGCGCTTAGCAAGGCTTAAAGTGGCGTTTACCACGCTATCCTTGGCCATATTGGCAACAGAGAAGTGTTTCGCCGAAGTGGCAACTTAACGGTAAATACGGTAACTTTGAACGGTTTTTACAACGTCAGTATACTTTGGCCGAAAAATGTTTTTCCGTAAACGTGATCTATATCCCTCCAATGTCTGATTCATCACTGTGATTGCTTTCAGCAGCGTTGGACTTTTGAGAAATTATTATTTTAAAATCAGCTCCAACGCTCCATCTAATTTAATATGCAATATTTGAAAATTTATTTTTCATTCCCTTCGGCAGTTTTTCGATGTTTATCGAATGATATTGCATTAAAAGGCCTTTTTCTTCATCACTGTGTGGCTTTCTCGTTATTTTGCGTTGCGATAGGGATTTCTGAACCGTCTTTTGCGAGGGCTTATTTTAGGCCTGATTTTGCTGCTATCAGACGGAAAAAGTTTGCGGCTCAATATTTTTGGTTTAAAGCGAAACTGAAACAAAAGAAATTCATTTTTGAATAGTATTCGGTAACCTCTACTTGGGAGATAAAAATCGGCCGATTTTGTTTTTTAGCCGGAAATCATCGGTCGTTTCTTAGGCGCAGGGCCTCTTAATGCGGCAAACCTTTGCAGACCACTAACGTCATACAGAAGAACCTACATATAACGCACCTCTATATAACGACGTCCTTGGTATAACGAACGACATTCTTTACCCAACTAATAGTAATACAGTGGAAACTCTTGAGAAATATATAAAGTGTTACTCGATGCACTAGAAGCAGTTGATACGTGAAAGAACTGTGAATGAAAACGAGACAAAATACAGAGGAACCTTGATATAACGAAGGACAAGGGACTGGCAAAATGTCTTTGCTATAACGAGGTTTCATTACATCGAGGTTCTTTACCATATATATACTAACGGCAAAAGCATAATTTTTTGTAAAAGCAGCTGCTGTAGACTTTCAATCGATCTTCGTCCGATTTAATATGGCAGAAACTCGTGAGGTCGACCTGTGCCAAGTCTACAGCTGCTGACGCAGAGGTCGAACGCACTTTTATTTGGCGAGTATTACTCTTAGCTCAAGGCCTACTGAGCAATTCTGACTTTTAATGCGACGCGCTTTACAATAATTCAGTTACAAAACGGATTTTTAGAAAACCTTTAACCTTTCAATCCCATAGTGAATGAAGAAGTCCCTCTCGGCTAGTAGGGTGGTTTTAACTTTTGAGTCTGAGGACAAAATCCTGTCGTGTGACGATTAATAGAGAGCTTCAGATTCGAGGACGAGAACGAAAATCAGAGACACCACGGAAAGCACCACAAATGTTTGTACGCTTATATTTCCGTTGAAGGAGGTTAAGCCCTCTCCCGATCGCTAAATGATGAGATTCCTAACATTTGGTAGCTTGTTTTCGCCACTACGATATTCTCGCTAAAACTCGTAGTAGAATGACGACGGCTACCACATGTTCTCGCCAACGTGACTTTGGTTCAAGCGCGCACACTACTTAGTGTTGAGAAAATCTCGTTCTCGTCGTAGGTCCTCGTCTTATATAAAGCTCTCTAATATGAGACCTCTTCAGTAGAATTTTCACATGGTACCATTTGTATTTCAGCGTTTAACAAAATGTAAGTTAGGACATTTTGACTTTGACTACTCATTGGGAGTGAAAGCGTTTACTGATTAAAGTACAGACCTTTTCCATGAAATCAACCCAAGCGTTTTTTTGATAAGTTGACAGAGTGATGTGCAGGGAATGGGTATCACTTGGAGTGTCAGCCTAAATAAAGAAAATAAAACAGAAGGAATGAAACAGACAGATCGCCAAAAACAATACTGCTTGAAGAAAAAAAATAACAGGCGAGTGACGCATCTGTGGTCCTCAAGGTTTCTCAGGAATGTGAACTGAGTTGAGCCCAAAAATGTAAGTAGCTTCGGATTTTTTTTGAAAAAGTATTTGATAATAATGAAATCCGTGCCTTCTTTTGTATTTGCTGCCACAGTTATTTATACCTTCTTTTGATGTTTTGAGCGGTTATTTTTAAGTTTCATTCGATTTAGTGGCAGTTCCTAGCGTCTGAGCGTTGTTAAATTTCGTGTCACAACTACTTAAATTCTATCTAACGATAAAGACACAGTAAAAGCTACATGTTTCTTCGAAATGTATTTCTTGACAGCTCAAGATCTACCCTCTTTGAACATTACAGTATTATTCTTTCAATAAACCTTGCTCTTTGGTTTACCAAGTAGCCCCCTAAAAGCCTCAGCAGAAGATAACAAAACCAACCTGATGAATTGTTCCTCTTGGAAAATACAAGACATCTCCAGCAGCCAACTCTGTATCAAGAATGGGTTCTCCAATTTCCTCCTGGCTGAAATTACCTGACAAAATGAACAAGTTAATAAATTAAATATAAAGACTGTGAAAGGTTTGAACCCAGGAGTCATTTCAAAAGTAGGTTGAGTTTGATCGTCTGGGTGAATGTAGTCCTGAATAGGACTGTTGTTGTTGACAGTGACTGACGTCTACTATTAAATGTAAAGACTTAGGTGAGGCTAAAAGCGACGCTCCTGTTAAAAAATTCATAATCTATTTCAAACAAAAAGCATGTATTTTAACTTAATTCTAACTTTTCTGTTGAAAAAAATTGGACTTGAGCCTGCGATCAGTTAAAAAGTAGTAACTTGTCAACGGAAAACTCCAAAGAAATACTTAACTACGATGGGTCAACACTGAGCCGGCAATATGGTCATGTGATACTGTTCAGCGGATACCCTGTTTTGACAGTTGTCAATTGACCATAACATGTATGTGCAGTATCAGGTTGCATCCCATACCAGCCAGATTGATAGTGTGCCATTTCATCACATTGTGTGACCTTTGATGTGGACAGACAGACAGATGTATGGCCACATTACTACCAAGAGAATTTCCCGGATGGACAGATAAACAAATTGTCTTAGCTATGGGGAGCACGTGTGGAGCTCTTCTATAAACCAGTACCTCAGGAAATTTCAGTTATCAATAAAACTTTAAATTCATAAAATAATGATATCATATTTCAAACACAATATCAAACTACCTACCACTGGAATATCTAGGTAAGGCTTCTGTATCGTTTCTGAATAACAACAAAAACAAACCTTGAGTGTGACATCATAAAAAATTGAATTTGTGAAATTATGGGATTTGCTGGGATATTATGAAAGAACAACATCCAAAAGGCCTAACTAGCATTCTGAACAAATTGTCTCTGAGACATTCGCTCAGTTATGCTCCAATGACTCCATACAAATCCTTCTAAATTGGACTCGGTTCATAACATTTATTACAAAGGTATCACTAGTACAGACCATCGCCAAAAAAGGGGTGGCAACAGAGAAACCCTGATAAGTACGAGGTGGTATTAGCTCTGTTGTCTTGGTAGAAAATGGTGAAAAAATCCCACATGCTTTGTGTAGAAGAAAATAAAAATAGCCAAAAAAACCATACCAAAACAGCAAAAATACAACTCAAAAGATGATAACTGTTAAATAATATCTGCCAGAGTAAACATGCATCCTGTTATATCCTGAGGAACAGACAATGAAAATGGAAACTTAACATCAATCATACCTTTAGTAAGCATGTTTAAAGTAAGAATTATGCATAAATAATGCAACAATAATTTATTATTGGATTCAACTTTCACATGATCTGAAGTATTTTGCAGACTCAGCCTCATCAAATAATAATTATTTTGTTTTAAAATTATTATAACCTGGGGTTATAGAGCCTCCAGTGTTTTCTGCCCTCCAGCTGTACGACAAAAGCTTCAATGTCATCATAATGTGGTGCAAAACCTTGAGAACCTGGTGGAGTTAGGTAACTGGAGAGAGAAATAATAGATCATTTGAACTTTAAAAAATTGATCAACAGAGATAAGTATGGGGAGAAGTGCCTGTGAGGTTGGTGGAGCCCCAAACTGCAGCCAAGTGAAATGTGTAACCTTTACAGCCCTGGGAGTGGCAACCATTATGATCCAGGCACCATCACACTGCTAACCAGTGCAACCTGACATACTTACCTTCATAGGGAGGGAAGGGTAGGGAACAGTAAAAACACTTGGAAATCACGAGCAACTACGTGCAAATGTAATGGCCTAACCTCAAGAGAATGGCTGTAAAAAGAGCCATGAGCCCCAGTGACATGATCAGGACGCCTCCACATAATTATACCTTTGATGAGAGACTGCTGGCTAGCCATGTCCTGAGTTTAACTTAGCCTAAATTTCATTCAGGCACAATTAAAATTTAAGATTATGATTCACACTAGCTACTATACATTGATCCAAAGGCAAAAGTTTTGGAGTTGAAATTTATAATATATTTAAACACAACACACAAAAAAAGTAACATGTTGAAAGACATCCTTACACATTTGCACCAACCAAGCAACCAAAGTATTCTTGTAAAAGTGAAGTCAACTTCCAAACTGAATGAGAAAATGCTTGTGGGTTTAGAAGTCTTACAGAACAGCCATTCTAAAACCAAGCAGGAAATTTAGTCAAACTAAAATCTGACATATTCATCTGATGAAAACAATAGTTAATTTAAAAAGGTTAGTTTCCGATCTGCCCTGTCGAAAGATTGTTGAAAAAAGTCACCCCACACCCCAACACTACCCTCTCAACTTTGATATTTTGAACTAGGAGACCCATCCACCTGCCCTTCTTGCCACCCTCCTCTGAAAAATCAAACTCCTTCGATGTCAATGACAGAAAGGTTGTACACTCGAATCTCTGTTAACAGACATCTCTACAAGATGGACACCTCAGTAAGATCACTCCTACATGGACAGTTATAAGTGGCGTACATATGCTACATTATTGTAGTACTATCGATGTTAACAAACCTCATAAAAGTCCCAAACAACAGGAGCAAGAGCTCTTCCTTTAGGATTATGGGTCTCTCTGACTCCATTTTTATAGGAAGTAACATCTAAGTTGACTGAGAACTGAACTCTGTGCTATAAAACAATAAAGAAAAATAAAGGAGGTACCAACACAAAACATTAGAAAAAAGACAACATTGCACTGCAAAATGTTTCAGAAATAGCTAACCTTCTACTATTTACAAAAAAAACACATATGACATCATAATTTTACTGCAAGGTACAAAAACTGCATTTGTAAAGACTGTGTCTCACAATCATGACAATTTCAAATTTTAGCATCACTTAATAGCCAATGTCAGCAAGTAACAGTGTATGTTGTGGTTCAATTTATTGTATATTTTTTTATATCCCTGTCTTCTTTCCTTCCTTGGCACTGATCACTGTTAAATATTGCCATGCCAAAAACAAACAAAAATAAACATCAAACCAAGGAAAAATAATTGAACCAAAACAAAATTTGTACATCATACTAATACTAATAATAACACTTATAATAATAATAATGATAGTTTTATTTAAATAAGGGTAAAACGTTTAGTAGAATACTGGCAAACCTTATTGGGCTCTACCCTAAATTACAATAGAAACTAATTTTCTAATTTTAATTATAATACTGTTTTGTATACTAAAGGAAATCAAATGGAAATAAATTAAAAAAATAAGATAAAAAATAGAACAAACATAAATAAATAAAGATTTATAGAAAAAAGATTATTAAATAAATAAATAAAAGTTATGAAACAGGAAAACCATTTAAGCCAGCATAACCTTATGCTAGCGCTAAATCTAATATGAGCAGCTAATAAGTTCCAAAGTTTTGTGGCTGAAATGAGAAAAGTTCTTCCGCCTTCCATTTCCATTATACCAGGGACAGCGTATAGTAATATAACCAAAGGGTGAAGTTCTAGATGACATGTCACTGACAGACACTAAATGCTTCTACCCACAAATGTTATTGACTTGTGACTGTCTGTATCAATATTAATTTTCTACTATTCCCTTCCAAGAAATGACTTGAAACTTTTACTACCGTGTAGAACATAGTGGCCACAGTGTAACTATGCTGCCTTTTATGTTGTTTTGCTGTACTGTGCTCCTTTGAATTACCTAATCCAACAAAGCCTTATCTTTTTTAACACCAGTGCCATATTATCGCTCTTAAAATCCCAACTCTCTCAAAAGTTATACTCGTCTGCAAACTAACACTTATAAGCCCACTCCCCTTTATATATAAGCATACCCCAGTTATAAGCCTATCTACCTGGTTGTAAATGAAAAACTGCATCCGATTATACCCGCTCCCCCTGAATTTGATTTATTATGACATTCTGAAGCTTCACGCTCATCTCACCCTTTGCATGAAATGCCATGTTCGCGTCACTTGACCCATAAAGCACCTGTTATGCAGGTTACTTAAAAACAAGTAAATGCCTTTTCTATTCCCATTGTAAGCCCCTCTGATATAAGCCCTCTGTTTAAAAACCCTTGCGAAGATGTACAAGCCCAGGGCTATGTAAGCAGCAGTTTACAGAATGTCACCTTTGGGACCATATATTTCACTTTTTTAAAATTACTGTATGTTATTATTATTAGTCTTGTTGTTACCTGTCTTAGAATATCATCCAGCTCTTTAGTACTGAACCATCCCTCATTAAACTCTGTCTGGTGTCTCTTTATTAACAGAGGCTTTTGTTCCCATAAATCACTAAAAAAAATGATAGAGAAGATTTAACTGATTCACATAGAAAAAAAAAAATTCTTAGGCTATGTTTACAATATACTGGAAAGCTAAATTCATAATGACACAAAAAGTTGCCCAGTACAGTATTACCATAAAATTCCGAAAATAAGCCCCGAGGCTTATATTTTTCAAAGGCCCTTTTTGAGGGGCTTATTTTTGGAGGGGCTTATATTCGGAGGGGCTAATCTACGGAGGGAAGTTTGCGTTTCAAAATCGATAGGGCTAGCCTTATAGTTGGAAGTAAATTTACCGTTTTTTCTTTGTTTTACTTTGTATTTGGGGGCAATTTTCCAAGTACAAGCCCCCGGGGGGCTTATATTTGGAGGATACATGGAGGGGCTTATTTTCGGAATTTTACGGTATTTTTTAAACAGCATAGCCCGGAACAGGAACAAGTTGTTCACACATATCAAACATTGTTCTGGAGTGGTTGGCCGAAAGGGTTTGGTGCACTAAATCCCAGTCCTCAGTGTTAAATATTTAATTCCAACTCAGTGGGATCCTCCAACAAGAAATTTCCAGGTTAAAAACACCACAATGTAGCTGGTATCCCTATTTAGTAAAATCCAACTAGTGGTCTATTATTAATGCTGCATTCTGATTGGTTGAGCTGCTACCAGGCTATAATTGTTATAGCCCACTAGTAGCGAAAAGCGACAGCTCTGAAAACCAAAACAGTGGTGGCTGAATCATGTTTTACCAGCTTAAGTTGTTTTGTCTCGATATTTTTGAACAACCTCTTGCCCTCTTGGCCTCTGAGTCAATAGCCCATTCAGCCTTTAGCCTCATGGTTTTCAGGCTCGAGGAAAAATAATATTATTGTTAAATACAGTTGGGTGAGGTGAGACAGGTTTTTTTTTTGTCTAAGGAAATAATTCAGTCATACAGACAGCTATGACTTGAACCTTGAACTTCAGATCTGAACTCCAAAGCAATAACCTCTAAGGCACCTGTCCCTCTATTGGTGGAAGGGACACTTATTTAGTTTCCTTCGGGATTTACCATTGGACATCACATGGTTTTTTGGCCTCTATATTCTTAACATCTTATTCAATTTTAGACATGCTTATTCTCCAAGGGTGTTAAATTTTGTAACGAAATAGCAAAGCATATATTTTGTCCACCATCATTAAGGCTGAGGTTATTACTGTTAATAAGGTTAGTAATTTAGGTAGCATTTCACACCCTCACTGGCACACATACACTGTACACTGTATGCCCAGGCCAAGTGTCTCCCATCCCTCCATTTACAAAATCACCTTAAATTAAGGACTTTCACTATAAACATGAATGGGATAAAAATAGCTTGCAACACAGGCACTTTATGACCCAAGCAAGGTGAATGGGGCATTTCGTTCAAAGCATGAGACGGTATGAAGTGCGAGATGAGTCCTTCCTTGTCTGGGGTATTTCACATGAAGCACAAGACAAGTCCTCCCCTTGCAGCTTTCTTAAAACCGGCTGGTTGACGGCTCATCAAGCTACCTCCTTTCAAATCTCGACCGTCTCTTTCCAGAGCATGCCCCCAGACCCCCTTTGGGGTGCTCACCCCCACCTACTCCTCCAAATTCCATAAGCCTACTCCACAAAATCTTTTTGAGGAGGCTGCCTTGTCTCACGCTTTGCGGGAATGCCCCAGTTTCCTCAATTGGCTAATAAAGTACCTATCATGCAGGCTAGGGTAAAGATGAAATTATATGTAACCAATATGCAACCGGTACCTGAAAAATTTCTTAGGTTTCACTGGGCTTATTAACCAAGAAAAAAGCTTATCAGCTTCAGTCTCGTCCTGGTCCAGTTTAACTCGATCATCCTGTTCTACTTCACTGTGCAATAATTCACTGTCCGATTTACAATCCGCCTTCTCTGGTAGACTGTGCACCGTTATGTTACTGGTAGACTTCTCCAGTCCACGGTCGTAGCTCTGATATCCATTTCTCTTGATTTTCTTCTTTCGACTTGATAAAGTCAGGCTCTGTCGCAGTTTATTCGCTTTGCTTAACAACGTTCCTTTTCCTCTTTGCTTGGATTCCGCCATTTCGGGAGTGTGTTCCTCGTGATCGAAGCTTTCATCATCGCCAGCCTCACCGTTTAAACTTTTGCTGCTAGCACGATCGAGTTTGCTCACTTTTTTAATCGACGCACGACTTGTTGAATTTTCCTCGTGTCGCCTCTTCTTCGATCCAGGGGTCTTAACGACTTTCTCCTGCTCCTTCTGTGAATCTTCATCTTCCTTTTTAAGTTGAGATTGATAAATACTAAAAGCTGAACGTCTCTTAAAGCTAGATTTCATTTTGTGGTACTACTTGTAGGTTCATGTGGAACGTGGAACAAGTCCGAGGAACGAATAATTGATTCTCCCGCGAAAATACCAGCGGACCACTTACAAATGGAATATTGTTCTCGGTATAAGAGAAGCAAAGTGTCCTTAAGGCGTGGTTACAAAGTCATTGCCGTATTCCAAAGCCAAGGCACTACTCAAGTTCTCCTATTCATGGGGAAAGTTTCGCAATCAACCATCTTTACAACTCATTTCATGGCAATTGGTTATTTTATTGTCATGTGGGTTATCTCTCTCTGGTTGGAAATTTTTGAAATAATTCCTTTCTTGTTTCAAAACTCAAACCAGCTGCTCGCTGTAAATTTGGTTCTTTTTATCTACGCCATGATCAGCGTCGTTGGAAACTACTACTGCCTAGTAACTACTGACACGTCTTGTGAGACAAATGGTGCATTAAATGAGGAGAGAGATGGAGTTTTTTACTGCCAATCGTGTGCACGAAATTCGCCTCCAAGAGCACACCATTGTTCGCTGTGTGACAGGTGTATTCTAGGGCGTGACCATCACTGCTACTTTGCTGGCACATGTATTGGTCACGCAAACGCGCGATTCTTTGTTGTTTACGATTTCTTTGTGTTCATCACGTCCGCTTATGTTGTCGTTATAAACCTTATTTATCTGCACCAAATAATTGGCCCTTTTATTCCGTTAAGTTTTGAAGCAATCTGCAAGATAGTTCCACTGTTGACAGTGTTTAAACTCTGGAGCGGAAGTGTCACGTTGTTTCACTTTCTGGTTATTGTTGTGACATGGCTTGGAATTATGCATGTTTTGGGATGTTCTGTGTGTTTCTTCTTTCAAATGTCATTGATTTTTTCTGGACAGACAACTTATGAATGGCAACACAACATATTTATTTATGATCAAGGATGGAGGAAAAACTTTCTGGGCATTTGTGGAAGCATGTGGTATCTTTGGTGGTTATTTCCAGTATTCCAGATGCAAAAACTTGCATCAAAAGAGGAAGACAACTTCACCCAGTATAACTCAGAAATATCTAAATACATCTAAAAGTACTTAATAGGTATTTTGTCAGACATGCTGCTGGTATACCAAACACATGTAACAGGGCAAGAAACAGCAGTTATGTTCACAGAGAATTTCAGTTGAAGCCCTTTCACCAAACACAATTGGGAGGCACGAAAAGTGTTAGCCTGCATCGCTGATGTATTCTCACCACCCGGTAGTAACATCTGCGAAGCAGTCCAAGATATTTTGTTCTAGGCATCCAATAGACTTAATAAGTTACTGGAAGTGTATTTCGAATTTTCTACTAACTTGATTGTCCATTCGAACAATGAATTTTTTAACAGGCAAACCATGGCCTGTACTCAAGTCTTGGTACACAGGTGGGGTCTCAGAACAAGAATTTTGATACTGTCTCGTAGACAGACTTAACCTGAGGTTTGGTTTCATCTGTGGCTCATGCTAGAAAAGTGTCTGGTATAGATGAAAGTAGGTTTCTGCTTGCAGAAACTTGCACCATGCAGACTTTTTGCAACAGCCACCTGGAATAACCTAAATCTGTTTTGTTTTGCTAAGTTTGAATAGTCCGAAAAAGAAAACAGGTACAACACAGTAGTACAGCTGTAGGGTAACGCGAAATTAATGTTTATTTTGAATGCATTAAAGCATTCTAGCAATAATATTCTTCTCATATGTTGAAGAATGTGGAAAAATAGCGTTTAATGAGTACATCACATCAAAATAAGTCATTTGTCTTTTCCATATTTTTAAGAATTATGGTGGTTTTGGCTCTGCACACTTTGTAATGACTATGTTTAAAAAAGCTAAAACATCAGACATCTTTTTTAACCATTTTTTCTGACAAAGCTCACTTCCTGGCTGTTTTTACACTGTTCTACACTTACTTTCCCTCTATTTTACCCTAAGAAAACAGCCGACTTTTGGCAATGCTATTACTGGTTTCCCAGCAAAATGGTGTCTGAGGAACGACTGTAGAAATTCCGTTCTGATGACATGTTGCTACCCAGATCTGGGTAGTGGTACTGATTGGTCGACCAATCAGAAGCTCAACCCAGATCTGGATACTCATGCATCATAAGAATGGAATTTCTGTGCTCATTCCTCAGACATCATTTCTTGGGGAAACCCGTGGCAGTATCCTAACATGTGGACTATTTTCTCAGGCTTTCTCCATTCCAGACCCTAACCATTAGTCCACTCAAAGTGGGTTGTGCACGTAGAAGTGAAAAAAACCCTCATAGGGCTTTCAAAGGGAACAAAACAGAACATGATGGAAACATTAAATTATACTGGCTTAAAACATTTGTTATCAGTGAGATTCAGGTTCATCTCTTTTTCCATTACGGATCTCCTCTTGTGACTTGATATATTCAGGATAGTCAATGTAGCCATCATTATTTGTGTCATCATAGCTAAGAATCTGATCCACTGTTTCTGCCATGTTTTCCTCTGCGGTTGATGCAGTATCATTGATTCCTGTTTCATTATGGTAGTGGCTCAGTGCTTTAAAAATTTCAAGGCCATCCAGTTTTTTGTTGCCATCATAATCATGTAGTCTAAAATAGTGGAACTGCATGTCTTCATCACTTATTTCTTCTTTTACATCACCGATTTCCTCTTTCAGATGTTCTTTGATGTGACTATCAAATGACAAATGAGGTCTTGTTAGATAAGCAATTCAGTGGAATATTCAGGGGAAGTGGATATGGGAGACTACACCCCACCCACTGAGCACCCATTAGCTTAAAGTTACTTTAAATTAAATCGGTTGCCCATCAGCAATGCATCCCCTAATTAGGGGTAGGTTTGAAGGTGAGTGTGAGATTTAGAATTCTGTATTCGCTAAGAGTTGAGAAGTAGTGAAGATTTGTAAATAGAACTGAAAAAAGAGAGACGTTTCATGCTATGGTAAGTAGATGCATTCTCGAGACCTTTTCAGCAAATCCATCTACCTGCTTGTAACCCATCTTGAAGTGAAAAGGGTGCAAGCCCAATTTCAACGCATGAATAAAGTGGAATTAACTGAGAAGTCGTTACATTATGTTGGCATGGGAGGAAAAGTTTTGGATGGCAACAAATAAAAAAGTCACTTAAAAAGTGAATGCGCACTGTTTCAAACTTCATCGATCTTTTAAATTGTCAAATGTTGACGAAATTTTCTAGGGTTTAATCCGAAAGGACTGTATCTAAGTTAAGAAAAAGAAGAGGAAAATTTTTGTTATTTGTCAACGTACTCTATAAAGCAGGCACCTGAAATTCCATGTAGGAAGTTTCATGTCGCAGTTGTGCAATGACGGCTTAGAAATGTACAAAAAGTGTGATGCACACGCAAAGCTAGCTGTTGTTTTGCTGATTGTTTTTTCCCATTTTCGTTGCCGTCATCATCGTTGTTGCTATTCAGACATTTTGCTACTGAATTTGATGGGTGTTCTCGTGTGGCTCCCTAGGCCTATATATGCTAAAATGTAAGCACGTACTTTTGAACACTAACGTCTACCCTTAAGGACACGTCCACCTTCGACTAAGGCCCCGTCCGGCACTGGGACGCATCCGGATGCTATTGAAAACGGAGAGTTATTTTCTCTGTTTTAGCCTTCCGCAAGAGAGAATGATCTCATTCGCTCTTGCCTTCCATCTTCACGTAAACGCCGTTGTCGGGCACGAAAAACGCAGGGATGCTATTGTATTTTCGTTGTTTGGGCGTTTTCGTGTAGACGGTCGAAAACAATTCGAATACGCTGGACGGAACCTAAACCTACTGTTTGTTCTCTTTGCCTGTCGCCGTCGTTGTACCCCGACTTTAAAAGGTCCCTTTCTAGTAAAAGAGGCCCCTGTGCTTGCTTTCAAAGAGCCAGAAAATGAACCAAAGACAATTCAGTTTTTGAAAATTCTATTGGAAAAGCCTGCTCCCAGAACCGCCCCTTTATCGCACAATACTTTCACCTTCCATGCTCTACTCATACGCAAATCTCCAACAAAAATCCTGCCTACGGGCTTTAAAAATGCATCACTGCATAGCGGGGTCTGGAAGGGTAATTCACGAGATCCGCAATTTGGTCAAAATATAGTGCGGGATTTACGAAACGTTAACGTGAAACGGAATTTTACTGCTACCGGCCTGGAAACGGGATTGAGAAAATTTGGGCAAGGATGCGAAATGTAGAAAGAAAACGCCAATATTCGGGATAGCGATGATAGAAGTTCGGGATGCGGGATTCTCGGGAAAAAGAAGAGGGTTCAGGATCCCGCTTTGCAGACCCTCTACATAGGAGATAACTAGGCATGTCATGCATGCATCCTTTCTTCTTTTTAGATGTTACTGAGCTCCTGTCGATTTCAAATTCAGATGTATATTTTGAATAATTTCATCCTTTTTGCTTTTTGTGTAGAATGGTGTTAAGGTAAATAAACTAATTATTAAACCGGCTGGCTTAAAAGCACCTGCTTTAGATATGTCTCAGTACAGCATCTCCTGTCATTGGACAAATTTACATAAAACAAGTTGTTTTGACGATTCTCGCTATAACTTCGCAATATTGAGGCCATCTTAACGAATTTAAAACTCAAACAAAATTGAGTGCTAGCACTGAATATCAAGCCCGGCGATTTGTTTAGAAAAATCTCGCCAACGCCGAATCGGCAAAAGCAGGCGCCTCGGTTTTTGTTTTTCATCGTATGTTTTTTGGTAGTATATTTAATATTCGACATGCAAAAGAAAGACACACAAGGAAAAACAAAACATCGTTCAGAAAATTAAAAACACCAAATTTTTGACCGATTTTCATTTGACATGTTACGAACTTATACGGTTTGAACTGGAATAAGTATGAATTACATACAAATGAATATCCTTTACAAGACTTGTAACAGTTGTTCTTTTCAGCGAGAGAAGAAACGCAAGTTAACACTATCGCCATGACAAACGCTTCAGAAACTTCAAAATTTATGCAGCAATATCTGTGGCTCTTTACCATATAAATTAGACCAATTTTGCACTTTTTAAAAGCTGCAAAGTCTTGGAGCTTTGATGGCTGCTTGTATCTGAATTCTAAAATTTATTTCACTGCACTGAAGTTGAAGAAACTAACAATTCTCCATTTCCTCGTCGAACTAAAGCGGGATTTTTGAATTTGCATATTAAAATACCGGCTGTATACTCACTCTTTATCTTTCGTAACCTTTGAATCGTGTAGGGCAGATCCATGTTGTTCTCCATGAGCTGATAAACACGATAAAAGTGCGACGGAGATACATAATCTTAAACGAAACAGCAAAGCCATGACGAGTTCTTCTTTGCCCGGATTCTATGATAAAACTCTTTCAAGTTACGTTGATCGATAAATAAAAAGCGCGCCAATCGCTTAAGGGCAAATTTACTTATGCTAATCTGCTTTATGGCCATTGTGTGCTTTTAAACTAACTAGAGATTTAATTGTTGTCTAAAGACGAATAATCGCTTATGTTTATAAGCTCGTGTAGTTTAACCATTGGCAGGTCTACGTACAAAGAAACTTAACGCCAATTTACAAATTTTGTCCTCGCTTCATTGATTGTTTCTTTTAAGAAACACTGGGTTATATTGTCAGTTCAATAAGGACTCTTCACCTCACTTGTCGGAAACCGGATGACAGAGGAAGTACACCAGGTTAACTAACATTTACATTCCCTCTCAAGGTTCACTGACACGAGTCGTGCAAAGAAATTAGAAAGAAACAATGATAGTAATAATTACAAATAATGATATTCTCCGTGTAGTCCCCAGCTGTGAATAACGCACGGTGAGTTGTCAGGGGACAGTAATGGAAGTCCTAAACATAACTGCATGACCTTAGGTTCCGTGAGCTTTAAAGCTTTTTATTTTTATACTGTAAGTTTTAGCTAGTATGTTGTATTTATATGCCTATAATTTAATAAGTGCATTGTTTAAGATTAAATTTGTAGTAGGGTCTGACGGATGGTTGTGCTCGTAAAAACGAGTGTATGGTTTTTCGGCAACGCCCATGAACTTAAAGTATTCTGTCCAAAATTATGCTCCTAATTAATTTAAGCCCGACTAAAATGACACTTTCCCTCCCGTAACTGCAGTCTTTCGTAGTAAAGAAAAAAATGTTAGAGCCTTGCACAAGTAATGAGCTGGAATATACTCATAAAAGAAAAAATAGAAGGGTATATTTTATTTCAAATATTTTACAGATTCTTTGAAGTTAACGACATAGCTAATACTGGACATGACAGTTGAACAAGCGACTGTGTACCTGAAGAAAGAAAAAAAGGAACGTCAACCCTAACGAACAATTAAACGAAAAAGCAAAAATAAAACTATCCGCAACAAGGAATCTAACGACAAATTCGCGGTAATTTTTTTGCTTACTTTAAGTAAAAAGAATGGAAAGTGGTTTCGCGATTGTGTTGGTTTAAACTTGAGAAATTTGGAAGTGACCCAAAAGTTCGAAGTTTGAACTACGCCTTATGCACCTATCAATGTAAACCCCGGGGGGGAGTGCGGGCAAGGGGTGGGGATTTGACAAATTTTAAAATTTTTTGATCAAATTCCCCAGGGTGGGAAACGAAAGGTCAATCAAAAGTGTCAAAAAAGCTCCCACCCTAGGGGAAAAAATCTAAACAAACAATGCTATAATACTATATAAAACGAATAAAAGAACATTTCAAACACGTTGTTACTACTTTTATTTAAGGTTAACGTAAGCTCCATTAAATTACTCGCTGTAATTAAGTGTTTTCTCTCTCCACTAGCATCTCTTATCTTGAACAACAAAATCACTCCAGGAGGATTGACCGTGCTATATAATATTAATAAAACGTAAAATGCTTTATAACATCTGCTCAACATGTCGGAACAGGTCGGATCAGTGACCCATAAAAAATCCTCTGACTTTCATGGTGGAATTCGATTTCAATCGAGTTTTACAATCAGATGGGAACTTGAAGATAAAAACTTTCTCAAAATAGACATTATCTGTTTAGATGACAGTTTAAAGTATCGGATTATGGCGATTAAAACAAATGAAAACTTCATACCTTTCTCCAACAGCGTGACTTTCAGGAAGCCTCGAGGGACGGACTTGGTAACTGCTTCTGAATTGATACCAGGCTTCTGTCGGTCAAAGTCAAATGTCCCGACCCCGGGGTCCCTTCGCACAATCAAAAGCCCGACAGCGGGAATAGTCCCAGGCATCAAATCCCTCCCTTGCCCGCCTCCCCCCAAGGGATTTACATTGATAGGTGCATTAATCGCTATCGCAGCTCTGGGGCAATTTTCCAAGGGTATTATGCTACTATTTGGGGAACTTAAGGAGTTTTATACAGTTGAAAAATATTACAGTAGAATATATTATACCTATGGCAGAATATTAGCCAAGTTCTTTTGTGTGTTTTTATGGACCGAGACAAAGGCGAGGTCGATTAAAACGCAAAAAAGAACTAGGCCAGTATTGATCTATCTCGACCAAACAAGCTTGGTCAATATAGGATTTATTATATGACGAAAAAGAGAACTTATTCTTGTGGGATCGACGCGGGAAATCCCGATCGGGCAAGATAGTTGCCACTCGCGTAGCCATTCAGAACACAGGATTGGCTTTATCTTGCCCGCTCGAGGGTTGTACGATTCACCCTCGGAATCCGTAGTAAGGAGACGATGAGAGAATGACTGACTTCATTAAAGCAATTACAGTGGAACCTCGATATAAAGAAGGGCTAAGGGACTTGCAAAATTAGTTCGCTATAACGAGGTTCTGTTATATCGAGGTTCTTTTTCATTAGACTGCGAGCAGTCTCTTATTTTCCTTTGCAAAGTTACTGCACGAAACCTAAGCACGCCAGCGGCGAAGCCGCTTTCCGCGAGAAACGAGGGCGTAAGCTAGCTGACGGAGGGTTTGTTTACCACAAAAGAGTCAGCAGTCCGTCTTTTCTCGTCTCGTCTCAATCCCTAAATAATAATATTATATCGTGGTTTGCAATCGCGCTGGATTAGATAAGAACTAGACGGATTTTAAGAGAAAAGGCGGACTGCAAGCAGTCTACTTTTTCATATATTTTACTGTTACTGGGATAAAGAAAATCGTTCGTTATACCGAGGACTCCGTTATGTAGGGGTTCGTCATATCGAGGTTCCACTGTACCAGATTTCAAAACGACCGTGCCAAGAAGAAGGAATTGAATGAAGTTTGGTAACTGTTTAAAACAGAAAGCAGTCCAAAAGAGAAGGAAGTACCATAGTTTCTGGTCTAAGAAGGGAGGGATACCGACGACAAACTGCTAGGGGATCCAGTGATGGAGTAGCATACAGCGTGGGCGGAGTAGCAATACCCCTACGGGTGCCCCATGCTACAGAGACCGGGTAAGCTCTGACCGTCTACCCTATGTGTGTACCGAAGACAGACTGCTAGGGGACCCTGCGATGGACTAGGATTAAAACGGCATCGATGGAATAGCAATACCTCTACGGGTGCCTCATGCTACAGAAACCGCGTAAGGTCTGACCGTGTGCTTTATGCAAGTTTGTACCGACGACAGACTACTAAGGAACTCTGCGATGGACTAGCATTAAAACGGAATCAGCGGAGTAGCAATACCCGTACGTGTGTCCCATGCTACAGAGACTGGGTAACCCTTATCTAACCTAGGGAAAGGTTTGAAGCTTAAAGACATACCATAGATAGTGTAAATATAAATGGTCAACAAAGCCAAACACAGGAGCTGATAATGAGCAACCGACCAGGGCCAACTGTAGAACAGTATTCGTCTAAAATAAAGGAAAAGAAAACAGCCACAAGTGTTGTTATATACAAGAAATAAGTGTATCGCAGAACCTCGCGAAAGGTAGCAATGCTTATCAAAAAGTAGTGAGATGTTTCTCTTCGTTCATATTTTTCGAGAGTCATCACAGTAAAATCTCGCTACGAACTTGGGACGGGCATGAATTGCGATATTGAATCATTTTGTTTGGCACTAAGAAAAAATTACGAAGAAACATGGATTACGAGCGTCAAGCTTTTCATTGATGCCAGTACATTTCAAAAGGATGAAATTGGTTAGGCACTAACTCCTGAAGATGTTCTGAATTCAAAGGAACTGTCAGCTAGGTTGATATTTTGGATCAGTTTATAGGTTTATGGGAAACTGTCCACCAACCTCTCCCCTAAGTCAACATTTTGCCCTAAGTGAGAAGTTAGTGTTAACGTTTGCTTAAGGGAGGGGTAGGTGGGCAGTTTCCCAGAAATCTAAATTTATCCGATATTTTTGTCAAACTGCTGCACCTAAGTGGAAGTGAAATGGAATATTTTACTATTAATAATATTAAGTAGTGAAACACAAAACGATTGGTCAAATTGCGAGAATGTAATAGCTCGGTAATTTTAAGGATATAAAGTTCATAAGTAGATTGAGTATGATCGTCCGGGTCAACGTAGTCCTGAATAGGAAGGACTGTTGTTGTTGAAAGTAACTGACATTTCGTCAACCTGTGTGCTAGTCTAGTCTTTGACTCTGAAGATGACTACTGCAAAGGTAGTCGAAACGTCAGTCACTGTCAACAACAACAGTCCTATTCAGGACTACATTCACCTGGACCATCGTACTCAAACTACTTATGAAATGACTCCTGGGTTCAAACCTTTTGAACACAGACATAAAGTTCACCCTTCTCTTGGTGATGTCCAATCAAAATTTTGTTTTGTCCGACAAAGATGGTGTCTTAGTAGGACATAATGTCTTTTCAAGAGAAAAAAAATTATTTACAGCCCTGCCTTACTCACTCATGTTTGGTCCAGTATTGAGAAGACAGGAAATGATGACACTGCAGGCACAGGGCATTGGAGATTGAAATCTGCTTAAATTTAAATTAAAAGGTTCTGAAACAAGCAAACTCACCTTGCCAAGAAGGTTTGGTCGTAACTCCACGGTGGGAAAGTTGATATCAAAATACCTGGAGATAGATTTCTAAGAAAAAGAAAGACTATTATTGTCCCAAACATCAATATGAGAAAATGGACTGCTGAAATAAAAGACTGCGCAGCTTAAAGCAGTTTTACAAATCAAAATATAAGGATTTTTATGAGGAAAAAACCATTGTTCCTTCGGTGTAACCTAGGGAGTACGAAATATTTGAAAGGGTATCAATAGTACTTGCCAAACCTCACTTAGGTTCTGTATTTCTCTTTTCTTGTGTGATCCCCCAGCCGATTTATGGTCATTTCATCTGTTTTATTGTTCCAATAAAACCCATAGAATCCTTTAACGCATTTGAAGGTTATAGCAGCAATACAGAAAGTACATATAACAATATATTTCGAGCTTGGGCAACATGTGGTTGCTCCCAATCCATCAATAAACCATTAACAAATGCCCTGACTCTTTGTTCAGTTTAGAAGTACAGATCATACTCACGGGAGAGGGAAGAGATTTAAATCTGAGATAAAATGCATAACCAATAAGAAGAGCATCTCGACTGAGGATCAATGCAGTTAGAGGAACTGAAAAGAAAAACATGCCCAAGTTAGTGGATAATTCTTGGGGGGGAGGGGGGTCATCAAAGACCCCCTGGAAAGGAAAACCCTGGGGGGTGGGGGGGTGCTAATCAAAGAGTTTCCATTGGGGGGTGGATATTTTCTGGAACCACACATTGCTGCACAGTAGGAAGAGCATGGTTCTGTTAAGTGGTGGCTAGTAGGTCATCCTTTTTTCCCCAGAGCTAACGACAAGCAGGAAAGTAAAGTTATGCAGGGTGCTCTCAATCCACTGTGACACCAAAGAAAAATAAGAGACGTACTGCTTGCAGTCTAAGAGGTGGGTCACAGGTTCAAATCCTACCCTCAAAAAAAAGGGAAGATGATAGATTCCACTGGCTGTTATTTGATGCTTTACGCCCCAAGAATAATTTCAAAACTTAATTCCTAACTATGGCCTTGGTCATTGCAGGCATTCCTGTCCCACACCCAGTGGGCTCTCCCATGCATTAATTTCCTCTCTCCCTTCCCCCACAAATAGCTCCCACGCAGGCTGAAAAAAAATCACACCACTAGTACAGTCATTAACCCCTCTTTACAGACACTTGCTTAATACGGACACCTGATTATTACAGACAGTTTGCTTTGCCCCTGGGGAAAGAAAGCCCTTACATTTTAGCTAAATTCAACCCACTTAATACAGGCCCAGTTTAATAATACAGACACTTGTTGTGGCCCCCTCAGTGTCCCTTTTAACAAAGTTTGACTGCAGTACATATATTATATTCAAGGTTTCATTTTACTTTTTACCAAACAACATTACCTGGCAAAAGAGACACCAAAGTCAGAGAAACTGTCAGCACAGACATGAGGATCTTGTCAGCCAGCGGATCTAAAATGGTTCCCAAAACGGACTTCTGGTTTTTAAAATTTCTTGCTATGAAACCATCAAGCTACAAAAAGAAAATGTGAATACTCACATTCAAAGCTCTCATGGCTGCATCATTGACCAGTTATTCATATTTAATGCACAGATTGGAAGGCACAGTACATGATTGTACCCCACCTCAGAATCTCAAGAGAGAATGGGTATCAGGCTTGAGTGCAGTGAAAAGCGTTAGTAGTGTATAGTTGATGGTATTCAAAACAACCATACACCAATCAGAAATCAGTGCTTATAAAGAGGTGGTCATTGGTAATAGGACTGAATGGAATCCAAGTCGATCTTGTCAAAGATTATTATAGTTACTTGTATTCTTATTAGCAGTTGTGTTGTTTCTCAAATTACCTGTAAATTAGAAATTCTGTCACCTTTTCAAGTTCTTCTGATATAAATGTTTTGTATTCATTTATAAATTTAACTATTTTAGACCAATTACTTCATAGTATAGAAATAGCATTTTTCCTCTTCACCTTTTTTTTTCTTTTCCTTTTATGTTTGCATTGTATTTTGTGCCTCAGTCTTCTTGAGCACTGACCTGTAATTTAATTTTATTTAATGCTGATGTCAACTGGCTGCCTGGCTCCACTAGCCCCCAAGGCTATTCCAGGCAGCCAGTACTCTAATTTTCATTGTTGTAATAAATTTAATTTTGAGCAAGAGTGAGTGAGTGATTGTTGTTGTTGTTGTTGGAATCATCTGAGTGATTATCAAAATTATTGGATGATCGCACAGCATAGATTCTAATAACTAAAGCATGATCCTACCATATCTGTGATTCCTGCGACACCAAACAAAGCTAGAGAGCTGGCAAAATCCTCTGTTATTACCAGATAACCAAGGACTGGTGTTGCCAATATCCTGAGAGTTGACAGCAGGTTTGGTATCGTAAATATATCTTCTCTCTGTAAGCAATTCATTACGTGCTAAAAATTAATCAGAGTCATGTGAAATTCCTACACAAAATTTATTCTCCATTTTCTACAAACACTTTCAAAGACCACAGAAATGTTCAGAAAACTCAGAGTCATGGCCTCTGCTCTGAAAAGGTTATTACTGGTACTCAATCTCTTTTTACATGAAGGCAAAAAAAGTAGCAGTAAAAGCTCTCTTAATGGACACTCTCGTAAACAAACAGCTCTACTTACGGCCACCTTCACAAAACCCTGTTTTTCTCAACTCCCAATGATACAAGCTCTGTATTCTTACATTCCCATAAACGGCCAGCTCCAGTTACAGACACCTTTTTCACGTCCCAAGGGTGTCTGCTTACTAAAGTTTGCATATGCTTTTTATCTCTAAGACAACAATTTTATAAAAAAAATGGAAAAAAAAGGTTCTAAAATTATATCCTTTTGGGTGCCTCAATAGTTTATTTATAAAATCATAACAAAATGGGCTGAGTTAAAAATATTTCAAGTAGCGCCCGTAAACTCACGCAAAAGTCAGATCAGGGATATCTAGTAGCAAAACATCTGGAAATCAGGACTCTTTATGAAAAGTAGCCGGCAAAGCAGGTGTATTTTTGTGGTGAGCAGTACAAAGTAGCTTCTTGTTTATTATGTTCATGTAGTTGCAATCTTGGATTTCATGATAAAGGAAGATTGGGGAGAGGAGAAAGAGCAACCTCAGGGGTAGTTGCTGGAGAGAATCTGCCTTTTTGCGCAAATAAATATAGCACTTTCAACATGGTGATTACGCAAAAAAAAAATCACTTGCCCAGCCAATGAAAATGCTTGCAATGCAGGCACTATGAAAAGTACATGTTGATCGCATCAGGCCACCATCTTAAAAGCACACAGAAAAATAAGGGGAGGGGCAGGGAGGAGAAAAGGAAAAGTATTTTTTCCTCCCCTCTCCCTATTCTGTTTTAAATCTGTCATCTCCTCTCTAGGAATCACTTTTTGACTCACCCCATCAGTTTCATCATCCAAGATGGTGGGAGAGCATTATTCACATGGCAAAATATGCCTGCTTTGCAAGCTATAGGAAAAGAGGCTTACATTTACATGTAAATGGAAACTTCTTTTAGTATAATGCAGCAGTCAATTCCAAGGATAAGCACCTGGACTCACTTTGAAAATGAGGCTAGGGGTCATTCGAAAGTGGCCTGGTAGTATGACAGTGAAATACGACCTACTTTTGGAAAAATCATGCCCACTTTGCTGATCTTGACGAACCCGAACAGCTGCTTAATTAATTATTTCCCTCATGTTTACGCACCTATCAATGGTTTGCCCAAGGATAGGGGAGCGCGCAAGCCATGGAAATTAGACTAAATGAAATACACATGGGTAGGGAATTTGACATCCTGGACATCCTGAGGGTGGGAAATTTGACTCAGCTGCCATCTTGGAAAGTGGGACCAGGGAATGAGTGGTAAGAGGTCTGCCATCTTAGAAAATACCCAGTAGTCATTTGGATGAGTTTCCCATATTTTGATGTGTTCATTGCTTTGTGAAGGATGGCAGAACAAAATTTAGGAGTATCTTGTTGCTTTTTAAGTTTTTGAAGTTTTATGACAAAAAGTAGGGAGTTTTAGCAATGACGACAGAAATGGCAACAAGAACAGCAATAGGTTTATTAAGCAAAACAACTTGTTTGCATGGGCATTGATCACGCTTTTTTGTACATTTCTTAGCCGTTGCTGCACGATTTCGAAGTGAAAATGCCTAATTTCACATTTTATGGAAAACATAATCAAGCGACAACGAAATGTTCTTTCTCTTTCTAAACTTGAGAGCGGTTCCCAAGAAATCAACTCCAGGGAAATTTGCCTACATTAAACATTTTCAGCGAATTGAAATAAATGAAACAAAGTTTGAAAAAATGCTAATTTATTTTAAAAGTGATGTTTTCACCACCATCACCGTCATGAATGCTAAACTCCCTAGTACTTTGTCCCTCCGCATTGAGAAGCAATACTTGCACAAAGTCTAATTTGAAAATATGCTTTCTACTTATATGTTTTCACCAGATGCTGCCCTGCACAAGTTTTCGGTATAACAAAAAGATCAAAAAATCATACTGGACCACAGTTGCAAACACCAGCCCTTATGCATCAGTCCATTCCAGCTGCGCCCATTTGAAAACCTGAAAATGCCAAATTTCCGTGGATACACCGCCCTCTCCCTTCCCCACCACCCCCCCCCCTCCCCGGTTCCTGGGGCAAACCGTTGATATATTTGTTGTAGTTAATTTTTATTTCAGTTTATTTTTATTTTTCCATTGTTTCTGGGTATGGTTATGTATGCTAATGAATTTAAAACAAAGGAAAACCAAAAATTAGCTGAAATACAAAAATTAACTGCAACATATGCATTACAACATCTACCCCATCCACAGGTAGCCCAAGCTCACTATGAGAGCCCTGAACAACATTATCCTACTTAGCTAATTAATTATTCATACAGCAAGAAAATTATAAGACGTTGTATGGAGAAATATTCTTTGCTCACTAAATTAGCAAAATGTACATTGAATATCGCTTTGAAGCTTACCCTTAGCGTCTTCTTGTTTTTCTTTGTATTCTGACTGCATTTCAGACCTCCTAGGCACTGTTTAAGGCCTTTTTTTGAGCGACAGTTTTTCACCCAGATGACAGTAGAGACAAGAGAAGAGAAGGTTGGCAAACCTCTCTTGACCGGCTCCACTCTCGGCGGCGATAAATTCCGTGACATTTGCGACATGGAGACAATTCGCCAGAAACAGATGTCCTGATAAATAACGCACATTTTCCATCATTCACATCGCCAAAATTCCCATTTGAAGGTCCTAAATCGCCAGCGAAGTGGGCAATACACAACTGAGGTGAGGCGAGTCGAGAGCAGACCATAACGGACTCCAACCGTCAAGTCGACAATTCAAACCGTCGCGGGCTGGCAGGGTCAAATTGTTCAACCGTCAATGGACAATTGGAGCATTTAGCCTACTGGGCACAGTAACTGATTTTTACTTCTCACATTGCACTCCGGTCGCATGGAAGTCAAGCATCGCGTGTGATAGTGGCATGTAATATCAAAACATGTCGCGTTGTTAATGTTTTGATCCTGTCCCCAAACTTGCTACCCACTGCCACTTGTTGAAAAAGGGAGGAAAATAGCTAACAACTGTTTACAGCCGTAGTAATTTTATTGCAAAATTTTTTTTCTAAATCATACATAAAAACCATTGTCAAACGCTTTTAAAAAAAGAAGGGTAGAGATCAAAACATTAACAACGCGACATGTTTTGTCATTATCACACGCCGATGCTTGACTTCCGCGACTCCGAGTGCAATGTGAGAAGTGAAAAATCAGTTACTGTGCCCAGTAGGCTAAATGCTCCAATTGTCCATTGACGGTTGAACAATTTGACCCTGCCAGCCCGCGACGGTTTGAATTGTCGACGTGACGGTTGGAGTCTGTTATGGTCTGCTCTCGACTTCGCCTCACCTCAGCCGTGTATTGCTCACCGTTGGCGATTTAGGACCTTCGAAATGGGAATTTTGGCGATGTGAATGATGGAAAATGTGCGTTATTTATCAGGACATCTGTTTCTGGCGGAATTGTCTCCATGTCGCAAATGTCACGGAATTTATCGCCGCCGAGAGCGGAGCCGGTCAAGAGAGGTTTGCCAACCTTCTCTTCTCTTGTCTCTACTGTCATCTGGCTGAAAAACTGTCGCTCAAAAAAAGGCCTTAAACAGTGCCTAGGAGGTCTGAAATGCAGTCAGAATACAAAGAAAAACAAGAAGACGCTAAAGGTAAGCTTCAAAGCGATATTCAATGTACATTTTGCTAATTTAGTGAGCAAAGAATATTTCTCCATACAACGTCTTATAATTTTCTTGCTGTATGAATAATTAATTAGCTAAGTAGGATAATGTTGTTCAGGGCTCTCATAGTGAGCTTGGGCTACCTGTGCCCCATCCTCCTCCTACCCTCCACTCGCCGTTTTATCCTTGATTTTTTCTCACCATTTCTTTCATTTGCTCAAGCTTTGCCTTGATTTTCTTGGAACCTGTTTTCACATCATCCGACTCTTGACTCGCACGTTCTCGCTGAACCGCTGTGGTTCTAAAAGATCTTGAACCTAAGCAAAGCGTGATGGGCAAGTGTTTGCTCTGCGAAAGAAGACTCGCAGAAATGCTACTCTCTGTGGAACGCTGAGACCCAAGAAAACCAACGCTAGATAAGAAAGCTGCAGGTACAGCATACTTGAGTTTTGGTGGAAAATATCTAAACCTTAAACATTTTCTTAGGGCTGAATTTAGGCGGAGTGCCTGGCATATCGAGCAGGCACCCGCCATGTTTTTATCCTTTGTAGTTACCAATCCTTCCGCGTAGAAATCGACCGAGCAGAGAGGTGACTCAGTACTAAAACAAAGAGGAAACATGGCGTCTCCCGGTGGAATCTTGACCCGTATCAGAAGTTTTATGCGACAGCCTACCATGAAGAAAGCCGTCAAGACGATTTTTCCGGATCCAATGGATAAATTTAAGTGGCAAGATGTTCTGTGGGACTTCAGAAGCAAGGAAGCTCTTGAAGAATGGACGCTGGTCACAGATGAACAATTTGGGGGCAAATCTACAGCTGAATTTGTGCAGAGTCCAGGCGGACGAGCTATTTTTAAAGGACATATTTCCACCGAACTACCGCCTGCTTCAGATGTTAAGTACACCGGAATGTGCTCAATCAGAGCACAGCCAAAATGGGTGAGCTATAATGCTATGTACCTCATGTAAGAATTCATGTAATGTCCTAATCCATTCTCATGTCATAACTTGGGGACTGAGTCAATTTGTTGGGGAAGAGGTCCAGTTGACATTCTGTTCCGGGGGGGCATAGGAAAAAAGAGAGAGTCTCCAGATTTTAGATCTGTAGAGGTTGGCATCTCTTGCCCTTGCACCAGATATGTGTCAAAGCTATGCGGTCTTGCCCTTGCACCAGATATGTGTCAAAGCTATGCGGTTGTCTAAGCGTCTTCCTTATTTGTCAGGATTGGATGGGAGATGTGTTAACAAATGACATAGCAGATTTTGATGGTATTCAAATGAAGATAAGAGGAGATGGCAGAACCTATGCATTTAATGTTCAAACACAGAGCATCAGGGAGGATGACGTACACCAGACCTTTATCCACACAAGAGGGGGACCACTGTGGGAGATAGTGCGGGTAAATCACAATCAGTTATTACATTGTAGAGAGATTTAGAATCACATTGGCAAAAGGCAATTTCTATCATGCAACTGGGTTTTTTGTTTACATCTCCTTTACTCTTTATTAGATCTTTACACAAATAATAAGTCTGATGTCAGGTTCATACATAGGAATTCTTCTGTTAAGTTTTTATCTGCTTACTTCCTAATTTAAGAACTTGTCCTCTTGAATCTGGCATTCATTGTTTGCAGTAAACATTATTCTACCAGTAAGTCATTCTCTTACCAGCAATAATGATATTGTGATATTTATTGATGACAGCATCACTTTAGACTAATAACTTTATCCTCTTAACATTTTTAACAGATTCCTTTCACGAAATTTGTTCTCACAAATGCTGGATACTTACAAGATCATCAGATGGATTTTCCCAGAATACGAACTGTTGGCTTCACTCTTGCAGATTACAACACTGGACCATTTCATCTGGAAATTGACTATATTAAGCTAGTTATGTTCATGTACCAGCCAAAGCACTTCAAGTATCACCACAAACCAAAGGACTTTTGATTTTATAAAGTCAGGCAAACAATCTTCTTCTCTTTCCCTCCTTGGAGTCTATTATTATTAACTCTTTTCGGTGCAAATGAGGAGAAAATATTATTGCAGAACATAAAAAAGACAACAGTTATGTTTTGGTCAAGAGCTTTCAATGTGTATTTCAACAGTAACACAATAGAGGTTCCTCAAGACATCAAAACTTCTGACAAATTTGTTTGTCATGTATTAAACAACCTCTAGAAAAGCGAACACTGTTCGAGGAAAGTGTTAATTTGTAGCTTATTAAAGCCCTGGGGGGGATACTCCCATACATTACCTATACGGGTATGTGCCGCCCAATGGGTCGTGATTTTGAAGCTCCTGATTTAGAACGGGGTATCCATTTCAGGGGCATTTTCTAGAATGGGGTATAATATTTCGAATGCACAAAACCTCCAGTTTTGTAAGCAGCCATTTGAAATTATTCAAGGACAGATTGCTTTTAAAAATACGGTTCAATGCATTAACAAGCAAACTGTTGTACTCTTGTTGCACCCTAGAACGGAGTATAAAAAATTGGCCCATTTCTAGAACGGGGTATAAAAAATTGACCCATTCCTAGAATGGGGGGAATTTTTTTAAGAACGGGGTGCACATTTGGAGTCCCTGGCGGCACATACCCACCCAAAAAATACCCAAGTGCCCCGGGATTAAAGCTACATGGCTGTCAGTCTGTACTTTTGGAGAAAGAGATTTGATTAGTAAACAGTGCTCAGAAGCTGTAATTTAAGGGGTTCATAAAATAAGGCATTAACTGAATCTTGTCATAGTGTCAAATTTCTCATCTCAAGCAAATATGGGAAGAAAATAAGCAGTTTATCAAAAACCACTATAAACACTTGTTATTCAAGGATGTCTTTTTTATGCACCTTTTCATTAGTTATTGCGTTCAATAAGTGGAATAGCAGGTCATTATGGGAACAGCAGGTCATTATTTTTAATAACGACATATTGTTTCACTTTAGTGACTTTAGTAATATTTTTATAATATTGGAAAGGTGCATTTAACCAGATAGCTCCTTCACTCCTTGACTGTCCTATAAGTAATGACCTATTGTCACTTGCTCAGTCATTATTAATTCTTTTAGAAGGCCTCAGAGCTTAGGTTTAATTTTAATTAATTTTCTTAATGTCGCTTGTAAGTGTAAATAGTTATAAAATATGTAGATTTTCTTTTTTAGATTATTTATGTTGCACACGAGTTTACACCAGCTGTAGGCTGATTCATCATGCAGAATAAATAAAAGCTTCTTTGTTATTAATTACCCTATATTAATTCTTGGACAACTTAAATTTCCTGCATCTATGCATAAAAATGTTTCATTCTTGACACTCCTTTTGATCGCAAATCCATTTGTTTACTCTTTCAGGAAATATCCCTTATAATTCCGGAGTCCACACTCTAGAAAATGGGATCTTGAGAAGCACCACTAACCCTGTACCTTACTTTACCTACAGCCAACCCTCTACAATATCTTACAGGCATCCACTTGTTAAAACTTAACATGTTGATGTGAGGGTTCATATGGGAAACAAAACAAATAATTATTCATCACCTCACTTATAGCTTGGGCCTATGTCACGGCATTTTTACGGACCAGTTTATTTTTAGACACATTTTAGGGCACTTTTTCCCGTGAAAATAGAATCTCCACAATGACTAGAAGTGCATTCGAAGTATACGATACCAAAAAGGAAAACTAAACGTTATTAATAGGCAAAAAATATTACTTTAGGTCTGTAGGTTTTGCCAACTGGTTTGTGGAATGGAAAAGATATTCAAAATTCGCGCCAAAACCGTTCTAAAAATAAACTGGTCCGTGAAAACGCCGTGACACGAATGCATGGAATTTGCTCGCTCCAGGTTATGGGCTCCCAATGTTACTAGATGTATTAATTTTTAAAAAACACTCTTGCAGTGTGTCTGGGATCGATGCCAGTGGCTCAATCAACTGGTTTGGATGCATCCCCTATCTGACCCTAGTCCCCTATATAATATACATTTACCACTTCCCCCTCATTCATTAAATCAGACAGGTTGTTTCAAAGTTTGTTTTTTTTCTTTTGAAGATTTAAACAACAAATTAAATAAAAATTCTTCTTAAAGGAAAAATAAAATATGAGCTGTCTCAAACTAGATGTAGCAAAAACAAAACTAGCAAAATAAACGTCTCATAAGTATCTCATTTTGGTTGAGATTATTTTCAATTTGACTTGAAATTTGTTAAATTAAAAGTTACCTGGTCGCACTTTGCGGATAAAAAGTAAAAAATAAAATAAAATTCTTGTACTTCTATATTGATATCTTTGAGGCAAAATTTTACTACATACTCGAATATTTACACTGGGATAGAAATCATGATTACAATTGGATTCGATTCTGACGACTGGTCATTTTCGTTTCCAAGGTGATCGAAGACACGCGATCGTTTTTCACCTTGACCTCGGGTTTAAGGACATACAGTGCCTGGAAAGACTAACAGGCTTGCAGCCCTTGCTTCGCTTTATGAGCTGTCGACAACAGCTCCACCCCTTGTTAACAACATACTCTCCTGGATGCCGACTGACAATGCAAGTTCTTGTCTTCATCGCAGCACGAGGAAGAAACAACTGACACCTGTTGCACCTGACATCTTCGAGTTGTCTGGTCAGAGTACGCACGCACTGGGAAAGGTTTTTGATTTTGTCTTCATTCGCCCGCATTTTCTCGCTGACGCGCGAGGAATCTTGTATCGCGCGTTGATAGACAACGCGGAACGCGGATTGCTGCAAGGAGTTAAAGAGTTGAGGCTTCTTGTCCAACGCCCATTCCAGGTCAGCAATGCCTGTGTTCTCTAGACATCTATACTCTACCAAAAGACGAGATGACTCAGGAAAGTTGCTTTCTTGGTCTTCTTCTTCGTTCCAGAGCATAACAATTCTCAGCTTATCCCCAACGTTAAAAACATCGTTTTTAGTTCCGAGTTCTAGAATGGCCCCTACGAATTCTGAATCCACAATGCTCCTTCTGAAGAGTGGCGAAAAAGCTAAGATTTTCCAACGGCTGGCAAAGCTTTCAGCTGCTTTTTCTAGCAATTCGTCGATGCCTAAGAAATTCGCATTTTGAATGGTGCTGAAGATTTCAGTGGTTTCCAAAAGTCCTCCGTCCGCAATGCCCGAGTACATAAAGTGCAAAATGGCTTCAACATTTCCTGGCGCTGGGAGATGAATAGAAATTACGTCCATATTGGTTTCGCGGTAGGCACCGTTTAGCAAAGCCCTGAAGTACTGGCTTCGAAGCACAAGGTATTCAGTGTGGCAATAAAATCTCTCTGAATTGAAGCAGATTAATTTGTCGGCATGTTCAGGCTGATTCACAAACTGCAACGCTGCTTCGCCGCCTACCACGTTGAAAGTTCTAAGCTCGTCTTTTTCGGTAACCACAGCGCGGTTTTGAAGCACGTGTACCGTCAAACCGATAGACGAAAGCCGAGATATTAGACTATTCAAACCCTGTTTCATTTCATCCACAAGCCTACCAGATGCAACGACGTCTTCTGTGCTATTTAAACAACTGAAGTCCTCCATTACAACGTAATCCTCAAGATGCCGTTTGGAAGAGAAACTGATGATTTGCAACCTGTTTTATATTTATAGGAAGGCAGCATTCCAGCGTTTTACACTCCAACACGAGGCAATAATAATGAAATCTCAAAATAAAATTCCAGCAATTTTGCTTTTCAAATGCTAATGTATTGGACAAAAGAGCGAATAGTCGCGTTTTTGCTATTTTAGATGTTGGTGGCTTGGGCATGTTGGGTGTGGCCTATCTTGATGCACCCGCAGGGTATCAAGAGGGCGGCTAATTAGTGGAACGGGTTTCCAAAATGTTCCTCTGCTCCTGTTTATTTTGTTACAGCTTTTCGCTGAATGCTAACAACGTAACGATCAGGTGCCTCAGAACATGCAGAAGGGAGGGGTCGTTTTCCTTCAACATAGAACGATGCAGATTATGGATTTCTTAAACTAGTAACTTTAGAGTTTAAGCGCAAAGTAGCTAAGCAGCGAATTCAGGAAGGATACTGGTCTCTCCATTGCCTCCCTCATTTTGGAAATTCTAACCGATCCTGTCAGAGGAACACAAAACACATACCGAGATCTTAGGTAAAAATCCCCTGCCAATTTCTTTACTCACTTACTACAAGTACTCTTTTCAGATTAATTTTCCCCATTTCCTGTAAAGTTAGCTAGCCACAATTCCATAAAAAAGAGAGACGATAACTTGGGCAGCAACATTAGATATAAAAAAAGCAAAGGAAGGATAGAGAAAAATTAAGAAAGTTGGAATTGGATTCGAAAAAAAGAAAGAAAAAGGAATAAAAGACTGACGAGTTCAAATTCCGGCTTATGCGCACGAACTAAAAGAAAGTATGCCCTTAGTGTAGCAAGTCACATTTTTTAACCATTTCCATAATAACTGGCGGACAACCTGTCCAAAAAAAGAGGATTTGAAGTTTCCATGCCTGCGGAACAGTAGGTTGGTTAGCCTGTGACTGCAATAAGCTGGTGCAGATGAACTTCCGGCTTTGTAGCCGAGCCTCACTTTGTTTGGAGTCCCATTCACGAAAAAGAACATACCAAAATGTCGTGTAAGCGGTGTATTTGTGGTCTTCTAGCGATATTTACTCTGGTTTGCCTTGTTACATCAGATGAATCGCATGATGGAGGTCAACATAATCCTTTACATGACTCTAAATTGACACACGACAAAGAGTAAGTAATCAATGACCCGATAGCCTTCGCAATACTAAAATTTCGTACGTAGCAGACAAGCACTGAGCGGGGACAAGATCTAGTTTGTAGTTTATGATCAGTTTATATTTGATCTCTAGCGTGTTGCATTTTACCTGCCTTTTTTTTGTTCTGGGGTATTTCCTACTAAACGAAAATTCATTTGGATAGGACTTAAAAACTAAGTGCGAAGTGGTTCCATCACACTTACAGACTGAATATAGAGCTCAAACGAAGAGCTTAATGTTATTACACGTGTCCTTAAATACCCCATAGGAATGTCCCAATATAAAGTAACTTATGAATTAAATTATACGGCTTTCGTTTCTGCTGTAATAAATATCTTATATTTTGTAAATATTGTTGTTTTTTTTTTTGTTATTTAAAAATCGTGTTAATTGTTGAGTTTCAGTTATTTTTTATCCACGTGAATTGGCGGCCATGTTGATGGACAAAACAATAAATATTTTTTTGCAGAATTTTCGTGAAAGAAAAGTAGCTCTCAGTGAAGAAATATAGTTCTGTTCTTGTCCACCAGCATAGCTGAAGTGGCATGAGCTACAGAAAACCAAACTAGCAATACAAGTTTTATTATGAATACTATAGAGAAAGTGATCAATTGCTCAACATTTGTTGATTTACACATGTTGAGCTCTTGTTCAACAAAACATTTGATATTAAAAAGGGCTCCAGAAAACCCTCTTGGGGATGGTAGAAATGTTTGTTTAAGGACAATCGAAGTACATGTGAAAAGTTATATGAAGGACTCCAGGCCAGGGCTGATTATGTGAGCTGCATTGGCTTTCTTTGCTGAGATCTTAGTATGTTGATGAAACCGAAATCAGCTTTGTGATAACATGACAGCTACGTCAACCCAGTAAGTCAGGATCCAAGTATTAGGATGCCCAGTAGTGGTACATTAACACACTGCTCTTGTACTCTATTTCTGTCTGTTAATGTGGACACTCCAGGCTAGCTCACCTCATGTAGTACCAGGTTAAAATTCACTTCAGCAAAGTGAGTGTTAATTTATTGATGAACTGAAACAAACTGACATGCAGTAAATTTGAATGTTGTTTTGTTACAGTCACATCAAAGAACACCTGAAAGATGAGATTGACCTAAAAGATGAACAGATGTCTGATGAAGATTTACAATTTCATTATTTTAAATTGCATGACTATGACCATAACAACAAGCTGGATGGTATTGAACTCATGAATGCAATGACCCATTACCATGATGAAGAAAGTGAAGAGGGCAAGAGCCACCAGTACACAGATGATGAAATGGGAAATATGATTGACCAGATTTTAGAAGAAGATGATCTTAACAAAGATGGATATATCGACTACCCAGAATTCGTGGCCTCACAGAAATCCTAATAGTCTAAGAAAGTGACATTAGGTTTATCTAAAATTATCTGCATATAATAATATTTGTATCTCAGAGCTGTTTAAACATTTTTTGATATTGATGATAATATAGCCATTTTGATACTTACTACATCAATTTAAATTATTTGTCCTGTCTGATCTTATATACCACTGGAGATCTTCAAGATGTCCATGGAAAGGTTAGGGGTATAGAATGGTAAGTTTGGGACTTTGTGAGACTTCGAGACCCAGATTTCTGAATTCGAGCCCAAGAGTTAAACAAATTTGAGACTGCAAGATGCAAAATCACCTGAAGACGAGACTTAGAGACCTATCACAAACGCTTTCTAGATTTCTAGATTAGGCCAAAATGTTCCAAGACCCATGTTTTTTGAGGAACCATTCTATACCCCTAATGTTCAGACATCTTCAGATATGATTGAATCTTTTTCAAAAAATTCTTGCTCCTTTAGGATAAAAATCTCACACCTTTGACTCAAATAAGTTGCCTTCTTCAAAATCTCTGATCCTAATTATCTCTGGCAGAGTTCAAACTTGTTCAAAATAAATTTGTATATCATTACAAAACTTTTTCACTGCCAGAGTCAATATTAGACAGTGCTTTTCTAATTTTTAATAAAAGTTTAAGAAAGTAACATCTTAGATTAATTTGAGATTAAATTATATGCATATTAATATATTAATTATATTTGTTGTTTCTCAGAACCTGTTTGAAAATTATTTTGACGCAATATTACATCTGCTATAAACCACATGGTGGATGAGATTATTAATTTGTTGCATCTTTTCTGATGTCTGAGTGGAGCACATGCAGTCCAAATTTGTGACTTAAGGAATCAGTGTTGTTTTGGTTGAGATTAGCCTCCCACGCAGGCGTTTTTAGGGGAGCTCATATTTCAGAAAACAAACAAACGCTGAGTGTGGGGACAGAGGAAATACAAGCTCCCCTAAAAACGTCTGCGTGGAAGGCTAGGTTGAGATGTGAGGTCAGTTTTTTGCCTACTGCAAAATGCAGAGTTGTCCTTGTGCACAAGCATATTTGTAGAGTGTTTTCACTCGCGTGGCCAGCATCTATGCAAATTTATTGGAACAAAAGAAAGGGTTTGAGTAAGAAAGGAACTCAACTCCCACAGGACTGGTATGGGACACCAACATGGCCGCCGTTCCATTGTTTTGGGACACCAATATGGCTGCTGTGACATCATGTGAAAACACTCTATATTTAAGAATAACAGTGCAGTGGTAAGCAAGCTCTAAAAAGTACTTACATGTACCCTAGATATGCCAATTAGCAGCTTTTCCACTCCCCCTTTGAATTAGCATCCTCTTGAGGCAAAACATATTGATTAAGGGCTCCTTCAAACTAAGGACCCATCCCACCCCCCGAAAAACACGTTATTGATCATAGGGTGAAAATGGAAGGATTTTGAATTAATTAATGATGATAACTTAGAGAAATTGAGAAGATAAAGAGAGTTTTGAGAGCGATCTCCCAAAGATTAGCCTGTGTACAGACCCCCCTGCTCCCCTCAGGAAATATCGCAGAGCCCTTCTCCGATTTTTGTACTGGAAGTAAAGAAATGTCTTACTTTCAGGTCGAAATTTTAGAAAAGATGATAAGTTCACCCAGCCTCGTTCCCAGTCGTCCTCGGTGATTTCGGATGTGACGTCACCCATCAAGCTTGTCGGGAAAATTCGCGGAGGACGCCTCGTGCTATCGCACTCGGTTCTAAGCCTCCTCTGGTAACTCATATAGCGCGAACTGGCCGGGGTACGAGGCTGAAGTTCACCCACTGAATTATCAACTCATTCTAGACTCAGAAGACCTACCGAAGATTTAACTGAGGGTCCTTTTGATGCAAATTCTATCTTTTTGCTAAATGTGCACGTGTATATGAAACTTGAAAACATTGCCAGTGAATAATGAAGACGCTCACTTGTAAACACAAAATCTGGGGGGAAAATTGGTTATATTTGAGGCCCTATTTAAAAGCCTTCCATGTTTTCAATGTTCTTAAAACTTGCAGGGAATATTTCTTAACAATTGATCTCGGGATTGTCGAATTTATAAAAAAATTGATCGAGCGGTTTTTGGAAAAATGCGAAATTTTTAGGGATGGACCAAATTACGTCCAAAAACTGTATCAAAAGCAGCTAACTGCAAGTTAGTAAAATTCTTCTTACTCGCGATCGCTCAGAGCAATTCCCCTCTTTTTTCGTATGCAGTTTCCAATGGAGTCAAACCATTATGAGATGAAGCCTCGTTCCCAAAGCTTATCATTTTCTTAAAATATTGGCGAATTGTGTAGGTAGCATGCTATTTCACTGTTTTTTTACATGAAACGCCCCAAGGCGCTAACTGGAGCATTAAAGTATTCCTACACTCAATAAGTTAATGGTGACATACAGTTATCTAGTTACTTTTGGCTTTGAGAACAAAATCCATTATGTGACCTTTCAAATGAGACTTCTTCTCATTTTGGGGACAAATAAAATAATACATAAGCTGCGAACAGCTAAATTTAATGCATTTCGGGAAAAAAAAAGTAGAGAGAAACTTGGCATGTTACAAAAAATTGTCTAAATGGGGCGGATTACCAATTTATGCGACTTGAAAATAAACCGACATGTTCCTAAGCAGCCGTTCATTCTGTCGTCAAAAAAAAAGGGTTTGTTTATCTCCAGTTTTTCCTTGCGTATTTTCTGTTTATGTCTTGTAAAATAAAAATTTTAAATGATTGAGAGCAAGTAAGTATGGAGCCTGAATTTCAGACATTACTTTGAGCCGCTTGCTGAGAGGAGTACGCGACTCGAAGTAATCGTCTCAAATTCAGGATAAATTAAGTATTCCAATTATTTCTCTCGTAAATTTTTAAAAAGAAATCCGTTTATTACCTTTTATCAGCCTTTTTAAAATCAATTTTTATTTCAAATCAAGTTATGGCTCTTGGTTGCAGAAGCAGTTCCTTATGTCACCCATCATTAACGTGTTTCTGATCCTCAGTAAAAGTTTAGACATGAGCTCCAAACCACCACTGGGTGTTCGACTGGGGGTCCTGTGTGCAGCGAAAGTTGGTGTTGAAGAAAGAATAGAAGCCAAAATTGTCTTCACTTGACACGGCGCCAGTACTAGCAGCGTTAAACTCACAGTGAGTGGCTTCACTGTCGGTATGCAGAATGAATGCATTGTGTATATCCTGCCAGAAAGGCGCCGTCAAATTCGTGCCTACGTAGCCCCTGATATTGATGTGTTCCACTCTCTTGCACGTGCCCCACCCCATGAAGTCGACGATGTTAAAGTCTTTGAAGTTTCCTCGGAGGTAGTCTCTGAAATCGATGCCATGAGTCGGATAGCTGCATGTTGCTCGCCAGTGGGTGGAGTGAGCCTGCAGGGATCTCATTCGCTCCAGACTTAAGCGGTAACGATCCCAGCTCGGGTAGGTCTCGTTTTCTGGGGCATTAATCTGAAATGGGGAGTTGTGAAAAGCAGAAATAAGGCGATTCTCTCTACTCCAAGACATGACCAGTGTCCATGCAATACCGAGCTCAGATCTCAGATCACAGTAGGCTAAGAAAGTATTTCCTCCGTTGTCATAAACCTTATAAATGCCATCATTGGGGGCACTTTGCTGTCCATATTGGACGCAGGATGTCGGCCGGGATCTAACCTAGAAGAGACAAAACAAGAGACTTTGCAGTTTCTTTACACCGAATAGCGTAGAAGCTTCATTGACTGATCGTAACTTCAGTATCTATTCAGCTATCCAGGCACTTCACAATCTTCCCAAAAAAAAGGCATTGTTTATCCAAATCCTCCTTCACTGGCCGATTTTCCGCCAGCAAGCATGGAAATTCATTTGCTTAACACGGTTTCCAACATTGGGGACATATTTTCGTATTGGATGTAATTTAGCTGCTTCTTTTCTTCATGTTTATAAATCGTATAATTGCCATTCTCAGGAATGCCTCTTTGAGTGATAACAATAATAATAATAATAATGATAAAAAATAGTAATAGTAATAACAACAACAATAGTAATAATATTTAATACTTCTATAGCGCATTTTAACATCGGTATAGGTTTACTGATAAACTGATGATTGATCTGGTGAAAACATTTTGTACTGATGAGCGATTCAAGTTTACGTTTAGCCAGTATAGTTCTAACTAATTGTACATTTCACACACCCCTCCTGAAAACTATTCCACAGTCTCTTGGCTAGATAAAATCGCAAAATTGTACGCCTATCAGATGATTTAATTCAAATCTACCTGTAGCTGTTAATTGTTGATGGCGGTTTTCAATCTATGGCCTTGGAGACTGCACTGAAAATTTATCAATGAATATGATTTAAGTTTTTAAGCCCACCTTCAAGGAAAAGTGATGTGAACTCTCGTTTTCCTTGTACTCGTTTGGGTTGATGAATTTGTGGGAAGACAAAAGCTCACACCAAAATTTTCCATCGGCTTCTTTGGAGGCGGCCAGGTTCAGAGACAAACATGAAGGATTGCTGAGACATTCAAAGGTGCAGTCAAAGGTGTCGTACACTGTAAACGTCCCAATTCCAGATACGTTTAAAAAGTAGTACTCTTCTTTTACAAAAACATCTTGACGAAGATCTTGGTGATAGGTCCCGCCCAGGTCTACAAGAATCATTGAATATCATGATTTAATAAAAATTGAATCATGGGATAATGCATTTCTAGAGCTCTGATTGGCTTAGCTATCAAGGTATATGAGGCATTATACCATGCTCTTTAAATATGGTAACTGTGCTCGTCTGCTCAAAATAAAAAACAAGCTGAAAATCAATTGTTTTTACAAATAAAGTTAGGAAGAATTGTCGATATTTTGTGGGCGTTTTTAACAGAACAATTATTCCACTCGCGCTTGTTGGGTATGAGATGATTAATTATAACCAACTCATAGCCAACGCGCACTCGTGGAATAATTGTTAAATATTCAAATTGCTAGGCTATTTTTTTAGCGCAAAGCTTTCTGCTTGGCAAGTACTGGGATGATCAGTACACTGGAGTCACTAGAAGGAAGGGATTTTCTCCCGCATAAACCACGAAAAAGCACAGGAAAAAAAATGGGCGCTTCATTCTCCCCCGGGCATTCTCCCTCCACTTGTAAAGCAAATAGAATCAAATAAAAAAGTGACTTGGTTTTCTCACTCCCAGGCTCTACTTTTAAGGAGGGGATTTTTGAGCTTGTTAAAAAAATCTGAAGATTCGTTGTAGTGCCCGCGTATCCTGGCCGAGTAGTTCTGCGAATAATGTACAACCAATCTTATCGTGTCATGTCATTTAATGCTTTCTGGAAGTTTGGAAGGCTTAGAAATTCGGCATGGTATTTTTTGGGGGCGGGAGGGGGGGGGGTAAAATGTTTGGTCGAGGAATTTTTTTGGGGGGGAGGGTTTGGAAGCCCTAGGAATTTCTTGGGTTTTGATTTTTGTTCGCATTCGATCATCCCTGAAGCTCTTAGTATTAAGCTAAAGCCTTCGACAGTATAGACCATGCAAGGTTGCTCTACAAACTCTCCATCTTAGGAGCCTCACCCTCTACTGTCAAATGGTTCAAGAGCTATTTAACTGGTCGCAGGCAATACGTGAGAATTGGCTCCGCCTACTCTGACACTCTACCTATAACTCACGGAGTTCCTCAAGGCGCAATCCTATCACCATTGTTGTTCAGCATTTATCTCAACGATTTACCCACGGCACCGACGTTTTGCAACCTAGAATCGTATGTGGATGACTCAAAGTTATTCATGTCATTTCCTCTCGTTGAGCTTGATGCTGTCATTGAAAAGCTCGAACAAGACCTTCACAGTGTAGCTCAATGGTGCTGTGAGAACCATCTACTTATCAATCCCGATAAAACTAAACTCCTTTTCCTCGGTACCAGACAGATGTTAAGCAGGTTACCAGAAAACCCTAGAGTGGTATTCTTAGGTAAAACACTGAAGCAAACAGACTCTGCCAAGGACTTGGGAGTCTTCGAAATAATAATCAGATCCAATTAGCACATCTATGTCCTGTTGACCTGTTTCAGCAATGCTCATGTCAGCAAGCTCGAGACCTTGCAGATGTACGTGATGACTTTCTGACACCGCCGAGCAAATCTTCGGTTGCAGATATCTTGATTTCTCCTTGAGATGCAACCGCAAGTCATTTCGTCTCCAAAGGTGTTAAGATGCAATGTTTTGACTTGACAGGGGACAGATTAAGCCTCGATTTCAATCTGGTTGTGATGTAGGTGCGTTGACTTCCGGTATCCAAAAGTATTCTAACTGGTGCGGCTTTAGAACGAACAAGAAACCTTGGTCAAGCATTGAACAAATCGACTGATGATGCCGTGTGGCAGCTCTTTCGCACAGTGATGCAAACAATTGCATCGTTTATCCCTTTCCAAAATACTTCTTCGTTGAGCGGAACATGATGCAGAGTAATGCTCGTTTTTCAATACCCATCCCGCGCTTCGACTTCAACCTTTATCACGTTTAGCAACTCCTCCATTTTCCATACAGAATCCTTAGAGTTCCTGGCTATCTGCAATCGAATCTCAGATGGCAACTTTGACATAATAACGGGAATCAAGAGACTTCCGTATTGATCTGAAGTTACGCCGAGCGATGCCAAACCGCGGGAATGAACACAAATTTGATCGTAGACGTATCGAAGACTGGCTGGGCGATCATTAGAACACGGCGAAACCTTGAGAAGCTGATCCATATGTGCGCTGATAATTTGTTGGGGACGCCCGAAACGTTCTTGTAATAATTTGACTGCTGCGTTGTAAGGTAAGACCCTGAATAGCTCGAGCGACGGCCCTTCAAGGACAGAATTGAGGTAGTTGAACTTGTCGATGTTGGAAATCCCTTCGTTACGATGAACCGCCGATTGAAATGAATCCCAGAAGGTATTCCACTTGGTCACATCTCCTCTAAACTTCCAGGTACAACGGTAATCTTGCACGGACCACTGGCTGTGACACGTTGTTGCTGGGTTGGCATGTCACCTTGCTCGCATTCTCGATTTTGCATTTTAGACGTATAATTGAGGCAGTAAATTCTTCTGACTCTTCGATTTCTTTATCAATCGTTGTAACTTCGCATAAAGATAATATCTCTTGGTCCATTTCGCTAAGCGACTCTTGTTTTCCATCCAAGAGTTGTCTCATAACATTGAGCCGTTCGTAATCCTTGTCTTCGCTTTGCAACATTTCGGTGAATTCTTGATCCAGTTTCGATACATATCGTCGGTGTCCTTCCGCTTGCATACTCGATGTACTTGATATCTCGTGTGTTTTTGACTTCGGTTTACCCTTTTTGGGAGGCATTGCGATCGAAAATCTGCCCCACGTTGGGCGCCATTTAGTAAACACAACTGATCATGTTTAATAGTCGAAATCGAAATTGCTTACTGACAAAAATATTCCCGCGTCTCGGGTTACTTGATAGTGCAATAAAGATCACGTGACTACAATATTACACAGACATCAATAAATTAACATAAATTATATAAAAATGTTCACAACAACCATTGTTGTTCAGCATTTATCTCAACGATTTACCCACGGCACCGACGTTTTGCAACCTAGAATCGTATGTGGATGACTCAAAGTTATTCATGTCATTTCCTCTCGTTGAGCGGATGCTGTCATTGAAAAGCTCGAACAAGACCTTCACAGTGTAGCTCAATGGTGCTGTGAGAACCATCTACTTATCAATCCCGATAAAACTAAACTCCTTTTCCTCGGTACCAGACAGATGTTAAGCAGGTTACCAGAAGACCCTAGAGTGGTATTCTTAGGTAAAACACTGAAGCAAACAGACTCTGCCAAGGACTTGGGAGTCTTTCTTGACCCCCATCTGACCTACGATCACCATATTTCATGTGTAGTGTCATCTTGTTTCGCAAAGCTTTGCCAAATAAATAGAGTCAAAAGGAGCTCCGACAAGGAAACACTAGAGTTGTTAATAACGTCATCAGTCTTTAGTAAGATACTTTACTGCTCATCTGTATGGTCAAATAATACACTCCAGAATATAAACAGATTACAATCTATTCAGAATTTTGCCAGCAAGATCGTAACAAACTCTAGAAAGTTTGACCACGTAACACCTTTGCTTCGAGAGCTAAACTGGCTTCCTGTTAAAGAACAATTATTCTATAGAGACTCCGTTTTGACCTTTAAATGTCAGAACGATCTTGCGCCTCAATACTTAACGAGCAAGTTTACCAAGCGCTCAAATATACATACTCGTAATACTCGTACACGGAACTCTTTGCAGATTCCGCTATACAGAACGGCTATAGGCCAGCGCACATTTTCCTACAGAGGGGCCTGCAAACGGAATAACTTGCATAATGAACTTAGGCAAAGTGCTCATTGGCATCTTTCAACCGCGCCCTGAAAGACACACTACTGAGGCAGACATTTCCTTCATAAGCTCTAGAATTTAGTAGAATACCATCATAAATTGTGATTTCGAGTTTTGATTGTCATTTTTGCTTTTATAAATTGTAAATAGTTTGCAAATAGTTCCTGAAAAACCTCACGAGGATGTTACTATTAAAGTTATTATTATTAGTAGTACCCCTCCTAGGCTGGGTTCACACTTCCCCGGGATGGAGAGCAGTGAGGAGAAGTCGTTAGGTCATATTGCTATGGTAGCAACATTTCTCGGGATGACAACAAACCGAAAACGTGTGGCTTAAAAAGTGAATTAGACGGCAAAACATTCCGTATTTTTGCGTATTCCAGTACGCGCGAGCAGTCAAACAAAAGGTCTGGAACGAGGCTGAAAACAGAGAGCGAGACTGAGGAGAGACGCTCACCTCACACGCCCTACGGGAGCGTGAGGCTCGCGCGCTTCGCGCGCGTAATAGTCTAACGCCACGCTTTACCGGTTTCTTTACTGATTTTGAGAAAAACACCTACTGTTTTGCAGTCTAAAGGCGAATTCGCATTGTTTCAATCTTCATCGATCTTATTCAAATTCATGCATTTAAATTTCTTAAATGTTGGCGAAATTTTGGGGGGTTGGAATCCACGGCGTGTCAGCTGTCATCAAAAAGTGGGACCTCTCTTTCAAACTCTAGTTTTTCACTTTTTAACCGCTTGAGCTGAGACTGAGACTGCATGATAATAGAACTTTATATTCCCAACAATCGCATGTTTTTGGATTTTTGATATTGACAGTTTTTGACACGAAAATGACGTCATAAAACTGACAGTAGAACTGAAAATGACTTAGCCTGCTTAGCAGGCGCGCGCGAGGGAGACACGCGTGTCTCCTTCTCGCGCGCCCGTTTTTTCTTGAGGCCACTACTTCCAAGCGCTTGGTACGCAGGCTAAAAATAACTTTCAACTTATGCCATGACAGGTTAAAGCAAATTTTGAAAGAATACTCATAGAAAAGAACTGAAATGTGAAAAACGTTTTTGAAAACCTCATTTGGTTGCGAAGATATGACATTCTAAAGATCACCAAATTTCTAAAAATAGTGGAAAAAATGGCGGAATATACGAAATTCACGGCTCAATAACTTCTCAACCAATTAAGCTTTGCAAATAAGTTTTTCACATTTGAGCTCATCTTTTTGAGCTCTTAAAAGTTCTAGCTTATTTTGCCATAAGTCGAAAACCA